TTATAGCAACATAGAAATGCATAGTAAACATTTTTACAGGTCTTTTATTACGTGAAAATATGACGTTGAAAAGAAATTATCAGCAAGTTGAGATTCCTGGTTGGTAGCGAAAAGTCCGGCTGTTTTTAGTTTACCTTTGTGATAATATTTTATTTGCGGATGTCTAAAATTTTACTTCTCATTTTTGCTATAGATCCGTGCTCAAACCTGCTATTCAGTACAATGGATATGAATTTATATGTTGTTTTAGATGATTGTAAAAAAGCATCTGTTACATAAAACTGAAAATATTATATCTGAAATTCAATAAAACGTTCTTGTTAATTTCAAGTATCACACAAAACCTGTAAAAATAACCAGGAAAATCGTACTTTCTGTTATATTTGTTCGTAATCAACTCCTTTTGCAACCTTTTAAATCGTTTTTTAATCACAAATATTAAAATTTTAAGTATTTCGTCAGTCACTGCATCATTTTTGTGCTGTTTTCCTTCACGACGATATATACATTTATATAACTACGCCTTATTTGACACCAGTCTCTTTTTATTTCTGCTACTTATTTAAAATTTATTACACAATTTTTTCTCTTTTTTATTATATTATATTGTGATATGTGAGCCACTGTGTCCAAAAGTTTGTCTAAGTCTAATTTAGAAACGCAACACGCTGTAGAATTAATTCTTCCTTACAGTATCTCTCATCTCGAATAAGTATGTAACATGTGAAGTAAATAGTTTCTTACCTGACACCACTTCCTCAAATCTGTGTAATCTCGAATGAAATCATGTTTTAGTGCCAAAGTTCAAAGATGCAGATCCATCGTGCAGACGGCTGCTGTGATGAGGCTGAAGTGAAGAGTGCAGAGTTTGAACTGAAAAAAAAAAAAGAAACAACAGGAAGTCACTAAGAACTGAGGATGTGGCTGATGCGATCGGTGCGAATATAGAAAAAAAAAACACAAATAGTTTGTCACGGGCCTGTACCAGAGCTTGACATTAACACTATTAATATACTTGGCTCTGACGTCATCGATATTCCCTGGGGGGCGTGACGCTAACTGTAAGAACTGCTCTATCTGAGTGTGTCGGACTTTAATCTGATCTTCTTTCTAACACAATCTGATCTGAAATAACTGATTTAGCTGGAACTATATGACAGAGGAGATGATTTGTGCTGTTAAACAAATCTCTGACACATAAAACTACAATCACAAGTTAGCGTCTCACTATCTTTATTAGGGCTGGGTATTAGTAAGAAGTTGCCGACACGATACATCTCGATACTGTGTCCTTTTGATTAGACATATTTCAAATTTATTCAGTACGGTTCAATAAAACATAAAGGTTAAATCATGACTGTGATACTAAAAGTCTGTTAAACCACTTCTTGAAACACAAGCAATTAAATAATTAAACCAGAGAAAAGGTCAAATGTGTCGCATAAAAAAGTTTCCTTCCTCTAAACAAACAATAAACTGTAGCTCTGTAGCAAAATTATTTAGTTAAATATACCAAAAAGTACTCTTGGTGATATAACGATACTGCAGTCCACGATATCGATAGTGTATCATCACATTAAATGATACGACCTATCGATATCTTGATATTTTTGCACACCCCTAATGTTCAAACATCAAATACTGCTACTACTACTGCTACTACTACTACTACTACTACTACTACTACTACTGCTGAAACTACTACAGCTAATACTGCTACTGCTACTACTACGGCTACTACTACTACTGCTAATACTGCTACAACTATAACAACTAGAAATACCACTAGTACTGCTGTTGCTATTAATATTTTACAGCTTTTTGAAAGGATTTGAACTACTACTACTACTACTACTACTACTACTACTAATACTACTACTACTACTGCTACTTCTACTGCTACTGCTACTACTGCTACAACTACTACGACTACTACTGCTACTACTACTGTTACTACTACTACTATCAAAAAATACTCTTGGCGATATATCGATACAGCAGCCCACAATATCAATACTGTATAAGCACATTAAACGATACATCAATATTTTTGCACACCCTTTCTTTATTGAAAATCAAACTCCTAAACTGGACCATTGATCACAGGCTCCAGAAAATGTGCTGTTTGATTCAATTTTGTATTTTTCTTCAAACTTTTTTGGCAGTGTTTGCTATTGGTGTGCAAAAATATTGAAATATCTATTTATATCGTATCATTTAATGTGATGATACAGTATCGATATCACAGGCTGCTGTATTGATATCAAGTATTAGTTGGTATATTTTACTAAATTATTTAGCTCCAGTGCTCCAGTTTTGTTGTTTGTTCAAAGGAAGGAAACTCATTTATGTGAAACATTTGACATTTTCAGTTCTGATGAGTAAAATGTGAGTTTCATATTCACTTTGCACATGAAGTGGTTTAACAAAGACTTTTAGTATCACAGCTATGATTTAATCTTTATTTTTTATTGAACTGCATTGAATTGAATTGAAATAGATAATAATGAACTGTATCAAATCATAAGCTCACTGTCTCGAGGTATGTATCGTATCATGGCCTATGTATCGAGATATGTATCGTATCATGGCCTATGTATCGATGTATGTATCATATCGGCAACTTCTGAATGATACCCAGCCCTATTTTTTTCTCATGTCTGCATTGTGTCACCTGCAGGGTCATAACTCCTGAACATTACATCACATAAAGAGCCTACATGTAGAACCCCCCAGCATGATGTCACTGCACAGTATTATGCTGTAACCTTTCATTTTCGTTACTACACTGAATTGAATATATGTATATAATCCTTTGGTCTTGTACTTTTGGTGGTTTTCGGATTAGAACATAAAAATACTCTGATATTGTTTACATTGTACTTTGAAATATCTGAAACATAAATGCACAAATGTTGAACCTGATCATTTCTGTTAGTGACTAGATCCATAAACTTGCCATATTACAGCAAAAATCTGCAATTTCACAATATTTATTTTAGCTGCCACACATCTAGGGCTGGAAAATGAATTCAGTGATATTTTCCATAGTCAATCCTCTGTCAATAAAACATGAGGTTTCCCTTTTAAACCCCCCACCCTTAAACTCCCTGTTGATGTGCACACACATACATACACATAAATACATATACAGAATACACACATATAAACACACATACCCATATACACATATTATAGTATATATATTATATTATATATGCATATACATGCATATACACATTCTCACACATACAAAAAAACAACAAAAAAACACATGTGCAAGTTTATATTCCCTCTATACAAAACACAAGCAAATTTCCTCTATCAAAAGACATCAGCAGAAATTGTGTTGTACATACTTATTATGTACCATAGAAAGTTAACAGAGAGTGTGCACATTCTAAGAACATATATTATAAAGAAAAATCTCCAGGTAACGACTATACAATAGATTCAGATCTCAATTTGATCAGTAGATTGGACCAGCAAGAGATATTTTTGTTTTTTGCTCCGTGCATTCGAGCAGCAAAAAGCTCCAGTTGAACAATTTCTCCGAAAGATTGGAGCCATTCTCTCACAGTCAGCGGTAGAACTGATTTCCACCAGCATATTACCATTTTTTGGCAGCTGTAAGACCTGCTAGTTATATGCGACGATCATTAGTTGTCAGATTTAGTTTGGACATGTCGTTTGTCAATGCATCATATTTATTGTTACTCTAACTTTTAACTAAGGCTGGGCATCATTAACAAGTTGCCGATACGATACATATCTCGATACAGTGCACTTTTGATTCAATACGATATATTTCAAATCAATTCGATACGTTTTTCTTTCTCTGAACAAGCAACAAAACTGTAGCGCTGTAACAAAATAATTTAATAAAACACCAAAAAATACTCTTGGTGATGTGATATATTGACACAGCAGCCCACGATATCGATACGGTATCATCACATTAAACGATACGATATATTGATATTTTTGCACACCCCTACTTTTCACTATAACTCTTTTGACAGAGGTCGGCCATCTGCTTGTCTCTGTGTTATTGGCCTATTCATTTTGGCTACAGCGCTCATTCCAGTTTGGTTGTTGTGAATAGTATGCATAATCAAAGCTTTATTTCACACTTTACCCATGTTCTCTTTACGAACAAATACTACAAACTTTTTCATTACATCTTCCAGTTTCATTACGTTTGATGATGAGTTTGTTTGAGTTTTTAAGAGCACAGTAGAACGAGCCTGTTTGCCTCTCAGTCTTTTTTATCCACAACAAAACAAACAGTTCTCACTTCTGTTCTCAGCGGTTAGAGGCAGTTCCCACATTTGCAAAGTAACCTACAACACAGTTCGGTTTTGCTTCAGGCTTTTAGCTTCTGCTTCCTTCTTCAACTTTTAATAAATTGTTTTCATATTTAGAGCAAAAATAAACCAAAACATAAACATGGACATTCAAGATCACATTAAAATGTGTCTTATTATCTCAGACAGGCAGAGCTAGAGGGCTGGTGTGAGATTTTGGGCTTTAGGTTTTAAGTTTTAAGGTGTCAGTAGCAATAATATTTACACAATAAGGACTTTTGGATCACAATTGAATCCTAAATTTCATTACAGAATCAGTTGTTTAAGCATTTTTTGCACAGTTTTACAGTTAAAATTTTATATTAAATTTCGCAAAGGTGCATTGCAGGTTTGCTATATACTAGTCTCCATGGAGATGTTAATGCTTTCCCTGGAATGTTCCACAGTATGACTTTTTAAACATTTCCATCTAGCATTTATCCATTTCGGGTGTTTCTTTTGCTCAAAAATACAACAATTATTTCTGTGAATAGGGCCGACTCTTCACAGATCTTAACTGTAATGTCTCGCTTGTGATTGAAAGGTTTAATCTACACAGTGGAACATTCAAGACAAAGAAATAGCATCTCCATGGAGATAAGCAGGTGGAAATGAACTTCTTTTCGCTTACTGACTTGAAACATGCTGCTTCGGAGATGTAGGCAGATAGAGATAATGCAAGATTACAAAGGCGTGAATGAAACAAAACACACACTCATAAAAGTATGGGTGTGTTTTTGATGAGTTAACAGAATGATAAAACGGCTTAAGCCTCCCAAGAGTCAATTATGTGTAATATATGAATTTTTACGCAAGCATTAATACAGACAGTAGGCCTATGTACACTACCAGTCAAAAGTTTAGACACACCCTTTCATTCAATGTTTTTCCTTTTTGATATGTTTACTACCTTCTATGTTTGATATACATAAAAGACATCAAATATATGAAGCAAGATGTGTGGAATTATTCAGCAAATAAGTCAAATTTAAATATATAGTTTTCATATTTTATAGTCAAATCCTCAAAGTAGCCACCCTTGTCCAAAAAAAAAAAAAAAAAAGTAGTAATAGTAGTAGTAGTGAACTTTTTTCTTCACTACCTAATTCCATATATATCTTATTTCATATATTTGATGTCTTTCGTGTTTATATCAAATGCACAAAATGTTAAAAAACAACAACAGCAACAAAAAACTTTGAGAACTTGGCACTTGCTATGCTGTTTTTAACCACAGTCAGAGCCACTACTCCACACTACTGTGCATAATTTTGTGGCCTTATTGGTTTCAGCTTCCTGTTACATGCAACATTTTGAGGACTTTTTACTATGTTTATGCTATTATTTTAGGAACAGTGTCATTTTTAAAGATGTTTTGCTTGTTTGTTTGTTTTGGGGGTTTTTTCGCTGACACATAACATATTTAGATCAGCATGTTCTTTTTTTTTTATTTTTTTTTTTAAAAATGCTGAATTCACTGAAAACAATGTGTTAACGTGCTTTATAAGTTTCATTTTCGTTTTTCACTCTCTGTTTCCTGCTGATTTTTACCTTTGTATTGCAACACTGCAACTTCCCCACTGTGGGACAATTAAAGGTTTAATCTCATCTCTCATACACATTTCATTTCCTAAAGTCAGAAGAATGCAGGTGTAACAAATTTAACAGATTGAGACTTATTATTAAGATGTCTATAGCTACATTCATGATATTAATATAGGCCTATATATTTTTTAATTTTAGGTGGATTTGTATGAAAGTATGGAATATGATTATAATACTTATCTAGGGTGACCAGACAGTAAAAAAGGCATAAACTGTCACTTGTTTAGGGTAAAATACAGAAAAGTGCTTAAAAATCACCAAAACAAAAAGGAAATCATAAAAAAATATTAAATGAGCCAAGTGCAGAAGGCAAGGCAAGGCAAGGCAAGGCAAGTTTATTTGTATAGCACAATTCGTACACAAAGTAATTCAAAGTGCTTTACAAAATAAGAAATACATTAAAATCATAATAAAAACAAATCAAAACATAAATAATCATGAAGATTAAAATTAAAAAAGAGAGACATAAATTGGAGAGAAGAGTGCGGAATGAAAACCTTTCAGTTATATGCACAGTTAAACAGAAATGTTTTGAGCCTGGATTTAAACAGCGTCACAGAAGAGGCCTGTCTCACATGTTCAGGAAGACTGTTCCAGGTTTTAGCTGCATGAACCTGAAACGCTGACTCCCCTTGTTTAGTCGTGACTCTGGGCACCAGCAGGAGGCCGGTCCCTGAGGTCCTCAGAGTGTGAGATGGTTCATATGACACTAACATGTCACAGATGGACTTTGGGGCTCGGCCAAGGAGAGACTTGTACACAAGCAGAGCTGCTTTAAAGTCTAGTCTCAGAGGCACAGGAAGCCAGTGCAGAGACCTGAGCACGGGACTTATGTGCTCGTACTTCCTAGTTCGAGTAAGGACGCAAGCTGCTGCATTCTGGATGTTCTGCAGCGTCTCACAGCTCGTTTGGAGAGACCAGTGAGCAGACCATTACAGTAGTCTAATCTACTGGAGACAAACGCATGGATAAGTTTCTCCAAGTCTGATTTAGACAGTAAAGCTTTGATTTTTGCTATGTTTTTTAGATGGTAAAAGGCTGCAGATGTTATTGATTTTATGTGACTGTTAAAGTTCAAGTCTGAGTCCATTATTACCCCTAGATTTCTTGCCTGATTTGAAGGTTTTAGAGAGAGAGACTGGAGGTGACTGCTGACACTGTCCCTTTGTTTCTGTGGACCAAACACTATGACTTCAGTCTTGTCAGAGTTTAGCTGGAGAAAGTTGTTTTGCATCCACACACTGATCTGTTGGATGCAGTGACCAAGTGAGTCCACTGGTCCATAGTCTCCTGCTGCCAGAGAGACGTAGATCTGAGTGTCATCTGCATAATTGTGGTAGGACACATTATTGCTGCTTATTAACTGGCCTAATGGCAGCATGTAGAGATTGAACAACAGGGGGCCCAGGATTGACCCCTGAGGCACCCCACAGGTCAGGGCCATGTGATCTGAGACACAGTTTCCAATTTCAACAAAATACTTCCTGTCTTCTAGATAGGACTTGAACCAGTTTAGTACAGTACCAGAGATGCCCACCCAGTCCTCCAGTCTCTGTAAGAGGATCCCATGATCGACAGTGTCAAAAGCAGCACTCAGATCTAACAGGATCAAGACTGAGACTTTGCCTGCATCAGTGTTCAGGCGGATGTCATTTGTCACCTTGATAAGAGCAGTCTCAGTGCTGTGGTGGGCTCTAAAACCTGACTGGAAAACATCAAAGGAGTTGTTCATTTGGAGAAAGGTCGTAAGCTGTTGGTAAACAGCTTTTTCAAGGACTTTGCCAAAAAAAAGCAGATTTGAGATGGGTCGGAAATTGTTCAGTACTGTGGCATCAAGACTGCTCTTCTTTAGGAGAGGCTTAATGATCGCAGTTTTCAACGCGTTTGGGAATGTTCCAGATTGAAGTGACATGTTCACTATGTGAGTGAGTGGTGAAAGTAAACTGTTGAGGACAGACTTTAGAAATCTAGTGGGTAACATGTCCAGGCAGCAAGTAGATGAACTCAGACTGGTGACGATCTCTAAAACAGTTTTGTCAGTTACAGGTGCAAAGTGATTCAGCTCTAAGTGTCTCTGTGGCTGCATGCTTGTTATTTGTGTTGTGGAATTGATGGCATTTTTGATGCCCTGAACTTTGTCATTAAAGAAAACTGCAAACTCATTACATTTAGATGTGGAAATTAGTTCTAGTGGCAGTGGAGCTGGAGGGTTTGTTAATCTGTTCACTGTTGCAGGACACGAGAGTTGTTACTGCAATTACCAATAATGTCCGAAAAATACTTCAGAACAGTTTTCCTTAATTACGCACTCGTTTCACAATTTTTATTATTACAAACAACTCCTGAAAATCTATACTTATCATAATATTGACAAGTTTATTTAAATATTTTTTACGTTCTGATCCTGTTAAAGTTTCTGATTTATTAATTTTAAAATCCATTACATTTAACAAAAACTTTTTAACGCACTTCTGTTGTCATGACTTCAACATCCGGGTGGGCGTGGCTCCGTCGCTAATGGCAACGTTACGCGGAAGTGGCAGCAGCACGCACAGGACGCAGACGCAGCTAATCCCGATAGTAACGGGTTAATAAACAAAACAAAGAAAGGAAAAAAAACGAGAAACTTATCGACAAAAAACATGAATAAACCGTGATTTTAACTTGACTTAATGTTGTATTCAATTGGAGACTCATGTTTGGTCGTAACAAGGTGGGAGTTCTCCGCACGGATCCTGAAAATGTTGAAAATATTCCTACAGGTGGGTCGCGTTAAGTCGGTAACAGCGTCTTTTCCTTTGTTTACATTGTGTTTTATTAAGTTGTAAGTTGTTTTATGTCATGTTATGGTGATTGTAACGTGAACAGATGGAGGGAGGAGGCAACGGGGCGTGCTGGAGGTACTGGGAGCCGTGATTACCGCGCTGTCCCTGCTTTACATCGCCCTCACATTCCCGGTCACCATATGGGGCTGCGCCAGGGTAAACACCAAATCTCCAAATGTAGGGCAACCAGTATTCCAAAATAAAAATAAAAACTTTGGTGGTTTGTAATATAAAACTGTGAAACGAGTGTGTAATTAAGGAAAACTTATGCAGGGACCACTCATGATGAACATGTGAGTCAGTATAGACACATTTTCTTGGTGTTTTGTTAATTCTTAAGCAGCTTTTCTGTATTTTACCTAAACAAATCACACATTTATGCTTCTCTTTACTGTTGGCAGGGATGAAATTGGTCAAAAATAGGGAAGTCAGGGACATTTCTTGTATAAAACTGGGACAAATCACTGGTTTTGTATAGATCTGATGGGACAGGGGACACAGGGCTCAAAACTGGGACTGTCTCGGGTAAACAGGGACATCTATTCACCCTAACCAAATGTAATCTTCTGACATGAATTTCATGAGTTTATTTAAGACGTAAATTGAATTATCACAGTCAACATTAGTCCAAACATTGTCCAAAATACAGAAAAGGGTAGAGCAGCTGAAAATTTTACTCAAGTAAACGTAAAATAGTGTTTTAAAAAGTAGGCCTAACTATCTTGACATAACATTTTTTATCATATGCAGTTGATTTAATTGTAATATTAATAAAAGTGCCATTACTTCAAAATAAAATACACTTAAGAGCAAAATTAAACTGTCCAGTAACTACTCCAAGAAGTACAATTTATTTTAAAATGTTGTTAAAGTAAAGTAGCAGTACCTCTGAAAATATAAAACTGTTAAAACTAAAGCTGACATCACCCTGATTTCAAATAACACAAAACAGGAACTTGTGATACATAATATTTTGTAGTTTTTAATCCAACCTCTTTTCTTTTAATTTCAGATCATTCAAGAGTATGAAAGAGCCGTCATCTTCAGGCTGGGACGACTTATTAAAGGCAAAGGAGTCAAAGGACCAGGTTTGTGTGCACAACTTAGAACTATCTGAATCAAAACATGCCACAGAGCAAATGTGATACAAGATAATTACTACCTTCATTTGAATCCATAACAAAATCTACTTCAGATGACACATTAAACTGAAAATTCAGAATTGTCTTGAACATTTATGTACTTCAAACTGAGTGGTGGGTTTGACATCAATCTTTTCTAACCAACTGATTACTGCTAAACTAAATATACAACCTGACTGCTGTGTACAATTTCAAATACTGCTGGGTTTCAGATGACATTAAAACATTATATAGGCAAATAATATGTAATACAGATGGGAGACAGATAAAATTAATATTGTTCAAATGCGGATTTTTGTTGTAATATGTCGAGTTCATGGGTCTAGTCACTAACAGAAATGATCAGGTTCAACATTTGTGAATTTACCTTTTGGATATTTCATGAGGTACAATGTTATCAACAGGGAAGACTGACTCTTGCCCCAAAGTGGGAGTACGACTTCTTCACAATCTAGAATCTGAAAACCACTAATAAACCTGAGTTGTTTGTGTTCAGGTTTGTTTTGGATCATCCCGTGGCTGGACGAGATTCAGACTGTCGACCTGAGAACCGTCTGCATCGACGTTGAACCACAGGAGGTCAGAACCTCGAAACACCTAAAACACGAACAGAGCTAAGAAAGCCCTAATTTGGTTTGAGGTAATCTTTGTTTTGTGGTTCATCTCCCGCTCTTCCTCCCCTCCTGTCCTCCTCCTCCTCCCTATTCTCATCCCTTCACTCTCCTCTTCTTCCTCTCATCCTCTCCCCTCTCTTCCTCTTCTCTCTCCTCCTCTACCCCTCCCCTCCTTCTTCTTCTCCACTGTCTCCTCATCCTCTCTCCTCTCTTACTCCATCCTCTCCTCCTCTTTCCACTCTTCCTCTTCTTCCTCTCACTCTCCTCCTCTCTTCTTCCTCTCCTCCTCCCCTTCCCCCTCCTTCTCCTCCTCCTTCCTCTTCCCATCTTCTCTCCTCTTCTTCCCCTCATACTATCCCGCACCCCCTCCTCTTCCCCTCCCCTCCCTCTTCTTCCTCCTCTCACTCTCCTCCTCTTTTCTTCTTCTCATCCTCCACTTCCCCTGCTCTTCCTCCTCCTCTTTCTCTCTTTTTCCTCTCCTATTCCTCCCCTTCCCTCTCCTCCTTTCTTTCTCTCCTCTTCCTCCTCCCATCCCTCTTCTGCTCCTCTCTCCCCTCTTCCTCCTCACTCCTTCTCTTCCTCCTCCTCTCCTCCCTCTCTCTCAGGTGCTGACAGCAGACTCAGTGCCCCTGCAGGTGGATGCCGTGTTGTTTTACCGCGTGGTGGAGCCGGTGCTGTGGGTGACTCGTGCTCAGGACGGGCCTCTCCTCACTCGGCTCTTGGCTCAGACGTCGCTCAGAGCCACGGTGGGCTCTCACTCTCTCTCACAGATAATCACACAGAGGAGGAGCATGGCCCAGAAGATGGAGGTGAGAAGATACAAAACACTGCAAAAGAAAATGTAATGTAATCTGTCAACTGGACAAAAGTGAATACATCTCATCACTCATCCAGGCAACATCTATCCAAAACATTTAAAGGTCCTGTATTACGCAAAATGATTGACTCTTGTGAGCTTTGAGTCATGTTATAATGTTGTTGTGTTGAGTTTTGTTTTGTTTCTTTCAACATGTTTGAGTAATCCTTTATAGACGTTTTTCACAACAGTTGGAAGTGCCCCGCTGTAGGCTTGCGGAACAAGCGGTTAATGGTTTTCTATGGCAAAATATCTGTGGAAATGTCTTGCGTATTCTCTTCCAGCTTCATAAATCTGCCCTATCACCAAATCTTCAGCCAACAATGTCCACAAAATAAGAATTTATCCACAACTATCAAGGTAAGAAAGACAAAAACTTAAAGGTGATCAATAACTAGCTGAGCAAAACTAATGTTATGGTCATCAATAAAATATGAGTAACTTGTTCACTCAGACGGATTGTAGAATTAAAATTAAAAATTGATTTCATGATGTCGATATGAGCAGAGATAGATAAATTTGTGCAGTTCGAATGCGAGACATCTCTCCAATCCAATCCAATCCACTTTATTTCTATAGCACATTTCACAAACAAACGGTTTCCAAAGTGCTGCACAAATACATAATAATAACAATATTAAAATGATCATACTAGTCTTAAAATAATAAAACCAGTAAAATAAAATAAGAACAAAATCATAGAATAGAAATAAATAAACCAATAAATAAATTAAATCAATAAAACCAATAAAAACACTTAAAAATAATTAAAAAATCACAGAGGACCACACAACTCACGTGGTGTTAAAAGCCAGAGAATAAAAAGAGGTCTTAAGATGAGACTTAAAACACTCCACTGTGGGGGCTGTTCGGACGTGGGGGGGGCAGAATGTTCCAGAGCTTAGGGCCGACCACAGAGAAGGCCCTGTCCCCCTTAGTTTTAAGTCTCGTCTTAGGCACAAAGAGCTGGAACCATAACACTGGTTTGCTCAGTAGTTCACTAATGCTCGTCGTCGTTTGCCTTTCAGTTTTTGTCTTTCTTACCTTGACAGTTGTAGATAAATTCTTCCTGTAAACATTTTTATCCTTCGTCGACCCTGTTGGATGAAGATTTGTTAATGGGGCAGATTTATGAAGCTGGTGGAGAACACGCAAGACATTTCCACAGATATTTTACCTTAGAAAACTATTAATTGAAGTCCCGCAAACCTACAACGAGACACTTCCGTCCATTGTGAAAAAGGTTTATTATTAGTCTGTCTATTTCTCCAAAGCTCAAGATGCTTCTCTTCCACTTTGTGATGTCATGTAGTGGTAGTTTCCTTGTTAGCAGCTACTTTTACCTTTTGTTCAGCAGTTAATTGGAAACCCAGACTGCAAGGTGTATTAAATTTCAATGTGTGTTTGGTCACAATTGCTCATTGACAAAAGCCGACTTTGTTGAGCAGTTCCTTCTTTAAATTTTAATGCTTCTCAACATTGTTTAAAGGTATACTGTGTAACTTTTCTGGTGAAGGGTTTGCCACCAGTTTGTCTCCAATGAAATGTAATGGCTTCGACTGGAAGTTTCACCGTAAAGGCTAAGTTACAGGTCAGATCTGTGGAGAGGCGACATGCTCACAGTAAGAAAGTAGGATTTTTAAGTTACTTTTAAACAATCTAAACATGAAGTTATAGAAAAAAAATATATATATAGTTTAATAATGCCATACTGAGGAACATTACAGGCAATGCAATAACATCTTCATAGAGACAAACACTAAAAAGTTACACAGTGCAGCTTTAACATGTCCATCACCTTAAAGAGGTGAAGTTATTATTTTGTGTTGGTTGTAATTCCCCTGGTGTCCCGCAGGAGGTGATAGGAGCCGCGTCGAGGCCGTGGGGCGTTCGGGTGCAGCGGGTGGAGCTCAGGGGGCTGGTGCTGCCCGTGGACCTGCTGCGCTGCATGGCCCTGGAGGCAGAGGCCCAGAGAGTCGCCCGGGCAAAGGTACAAAACACTATGACTCCAATCTACAACTGATTTAACCTGGAAACACTCCATAATCACAGTTATTTTAAAGTATTAGAAATGTTTAGTCAAAAGTTAAAATGTAGAGAAAAAATGTTACAGCCATTTTTTTCTTGTGTGACCTGGAAGCTCACCCTTTTCTAAAACTGCAGCTTCCAAAAACACAGGATCACAGGATAAAAAATACTTAAAAACTGGCTCTTGTACCAATTTTTGTACAATTAGTTTGAGATTTTTATGATATAATTTGCACAAAATATATGTCTGACTCTGACCAAAGCTCTGGGGACTCGTGTAATTATGTTTCATCCCCTCTTCCTATTCCTCTCTCTCTCTCGCTCTCTCCCCGTCTCCTTCTTCCTTCTCTCTCTCTCCCTCCCCCTCTTCTTACCCTCTCTCTACCACTCCACTTTCTCTCCCTCCCTCTCTGCCCCTCTTCCCCCACTCTCCCTCCCTTTGTCGCTCTCTTCCCCCTGCTTCCTCCCCTCCTCTCTCTCTCCCTTTCTCCTTTTCCCTTCCCTCTCCCTCCCTCTTACCCCCTCTCGCTTCCGCACTCTCCCTCTTTTTCTGTCTTCTTTCTGGCTATTGTCCACTCTCCCTTCTTCTCTCTCTCCCTTTACCTCCACCCTCCCTGTCGCTCTCTTTCCTCCCCCTCTCCGTCTCTCCTTCTCTTTGTCGCTCTCTCTCTCTCCCCCTTCTCTGTCCCTCCACCCCCCACCCTCCCTGGCTCTCTCTCTTCCCCCTCTCCCTTCCTCTCTTTCTCTTTCCTTCTCATTCTGTCTCTCTCCCCCGTCTCACTCCCTTCTTCTCTCTCGCTCCCCTTCTCCCTCTCTTTGGTTCTCTCTCTCTCTCTGCCCCCCTGCCCTCTCTCCCTCCCTCTCTTCCTCCCTCCTCTTCTTACCCCCCTATCTTCCACTCTCTCCCTGTCTTTCTCTCTCTCCTCCCCCTCTCTCTTTCCATCTACCCCCCCACTCTCTCCATCTCTCCCCCTCTCTATCTCCCTCCCCTCTCTCTCTCTCTCTCAGTTGATCTCTGCTGAGGCTGAGCTCGGAGCGTCTCTTGCCCTGCAGCGTGCCGCCTCCGCTCTGTCTCCCGTCGCGCTCCAGCTCCGGTACCTCCAGTCGCTCTCCTCCGTCCACAGCTCCGCCTCCGTCATCGTCACCGCCGTTCCCATGGAGATCCTCAGAAAACTCACGCCCCACATCACGTAAAGTCGACTTTTTCCTGCAAATCAAATTTATTTATAAAGTCCAGTGTTTCAGACATTGCACAATATTTAAACCAAAGAAACAAACACTAAAGACGCTCTGTGTAACTTTTCTAGCGTACAGTCTGCCTCCTGCTTGTTTCCGTGGAAATATTAGGCTATTGTTTTACCTGTAATGCTCTACTGTGTGTCATCAAACATATTTATCTCCATGGAAACAAGCAGGTGAAGCTACTAAGCTAAGTTAGAGGTCAGATCCATGGAGAGGCGAGCACACTCACAGTAAGAATACATGTTTTTCAATGTATTTTTTTTTGACAAATAATAATAACTGAATGAATGAAACTGTAGATACTGTCATACTGTAGAACATTTTAATAATAATAATAACTCTTTCAAAGTGCTGAATGAGCCACAAAGAACAATACAAAAAGAAATAAAATAATAATAAAATAGCACACAGAAAGCATACAAAAACAGACAAGGATGCAAACAATTCAATAAATTATAAGAAATTAATAAAAATAAAAAGAAGTAAGGAAAAAAAAGAAATAAGGATTAAAACCGAGCTAAAACATTGCAAGAAAGTGATAAGATCTGCATGGAGACAAGGTAAAGTTACATAGTGCACTTTTAAAGAGATACATTTTTTAATGAACAACTTTTTATAGTATTTTGACAGCATGTTTGTATATTCATTATAAACTTATATTTGAGTTATGTAATGAGATTTCACCTAAAAATGTTTTCCACACGTTTGATTGTTCCTTCATGTCAGATGTTTTGTAACAAAAGGGTGTTCATATTATTTAGTATTATATTTTATTTAGTAGCAGTGTGAAGTATTATAATTTTAATAAAAGCTATTACGTGTTCACTTTTGGCTCTGATTATTTAGTGGTGTAATCTGTTCCGCTGATGTAACAGTTTCCAATCTGACATTTACCTTTGACACTTTAAATACACAAAGACACAAAGCCAGTTCGTTTCACAACTCTCCCCACAGGGTTCCATTATCTCGTTGATATTCAAGTGGAAAATACAGAATGATTTCTCTTTGTTTTTCTCTCCTGCGTCTGGAATCCGGCCAAACAGGATCGTCCAATCAGATTTGTTTTTTTTCTTTGGTGCATATATAATGAAAGAGCTCACTGGTCACTTATCGTTTACTGATACAATGTCTCACCTCAGATTAGCAGAGATTAGTATTTTCTAATATTTTTCAGGCCCCTACATTTTTTTCGCTTTATTTTTCCCTATAAGGATGGTCCATGCATGCCTCTGATTGGCTCATCCCCCTGTCAATCATCCCCATTTGAAAACAGAAGATTTACCGGTGGCCAGACTCAAATTTTTGTAAAATATTGAAGAATACAAGGCAAGTTTATTTGTATAGCACAGTCCATGCTCAAGTAATTCAAACTGCTTTACAGAATACATTAAAATCACAATCAAAACATAAATAATGATCATGAAATTAAAGAGAGAGAAGCGTTTTGAGCCTGTCTGTCTCACGTCTTCAGGAAGACTGTTGTGTGTAGGTTCTATTCACGCATACCAAAAAACGTTTGTAAACATGTGGATGACGACTTCCAGTATAATTTCCGACACTTCGCTTATGATAAAACTGTGGATTCAGCAGCAGCGTCTTCACAACCTGCAAAAGTTTTCCATGTGGGACGTGACTCTAATCACATCTTCAGTGTCACTTACAGACAGCTGGTTGGAAATGTTGATCTGCTGAACAAAACAGAACACTACAATGACATTTTTTTCTTTTTAATTAGACAAATTATAACACATAAATTAATAAGCAATTTATAAAAGGAAAAAATAACGAATACAATGATATCTAGATAAAGAAAAGTGGGCCATTTTCGCGCCGTTTTTGCACATTTTGTCAGAGTTACTATCGCCAGCAGAGCCCAAAGGAAGTCATCATCCACGATTCCAAATGTCTTCTGGTTTTGTGACCTAAGCATGAATAGAGCCCATTCTGGATCCTATAAGCAAGCCACGAAAACATGCCTGGAAATGTCTTGATTGTAGTTATCTGTTAAACATGAATGGACTGAAAATTGCGACATTTAAGAATGGAATGGAAATATAATCTATCTATTAATGCAAGGAACATCTGTGTGTCTTTTTGTTTGTTTGTCTTTTCCACACATAACTCTCCAACCGCCCAGCCGACCAATCTAAAATTTGGAGGGTGTCATCCTGAAAGTACGGGTGTGCAGTGCCAAGTTTCATGTTGTTAGGGCAGGAAATGCCAAAGATCTGGTAAAACGAGTGATATATTTTAAACAACTTTTGGACTCATGGACATCCCTGAAGCGAAGCTGCACTGCCTGTTGTCTTTATTTTTCCAGTTTATTCAGGGAATCTAATCTGAAACACTTACAAAACACTTAAAAGAGAATTAATTGTACATTATTTTGGTTGTTTAAAGTCAATATAAGAGAAGTTTTATAAAGGTAGATCACATTAGTTTGTTGTTATAAAGTTTGCTAGTATTATTAAAGCTCAGTTCTTTGTGGAAAAAGGAAAAAAATAAATAAATTATCATATTTTTTCAGGTCAGAGGTCCACTTTCTATGTGTCTCCATGGAGGAGTTATTGCTCAGCCTATGGGATGTTCCACAGTACAGCATTTAACGTGTCTATCTTGCATTTATTCAATTACAGATGCTTAAAAATAAATAGCGCCAAAACATTAAGGGTCATCTCTGCACAAATCTGGCTTGTAACTTGTTTCCCTGGAGTTTCATGCTGTACTGTGGAACATTCCAGACTAAAAAAAGACTGATTGTATTGACAGTTTTCTTAATTTAGTTTGAACCCATAATAAACACGCTTCATTCATTCATTCATTCCCAGTGGCCCAGCTCCAGCACTGGTGTTAATGGTGTTAGTGGTGTTAAAACAGTGAACTACATAACCAGAGCTTAAACCGGAGCGGAAACCTGAAGTTACCTAAGTCCATTCAGACTCATACTGTAAATATGAGCTGATTACTGCAGCTTTGAGCCTGTTATAGCGTGACCTGACCCCTGACCTCTGACCTCCACTGACACTGATGCGGCGTGAAGGAGCCTCTGACCTGACACAAAAACTAGAGCGCGTGACCTTTGGATTTTAGAGACAAAAATGGGAAAAATGAATCTCAATCTTTTTTTGTTACATTACTCGATCACTTGCAGCAGAGGTTTGAAGCCTCTTGTATGATTCCTGTGTTCTTTATCTGTAAATATTCAGACTGTTTGAGACAAGAACAAGCCACTCACACCTACATGTTTAAAAAAAAACAGATTCAGAACCAGGATTATGGAGCGAAACATTTCTGTGAAAGAAGTTGACGAAGGTACAATGACGGCATTTACATAAACACATAAAATCCAGTGCAATGTGTAAGTACAAACAAGGAACTAAGTTGTTGTGCATAATAGTGAAGATTTCTGTTTGCAATTGGTGTGATTTTATTAGCCCGATTCATCATCCAGTTTCACTTCATGGAAACTGTCTGACCTCGCAGCATTAGGATTCGTTTGCTCGACGGTAGGTGGGTACTTTTTTATTTAACCAATCGCTGCTGTTTGGTCATGACGTATGTAATGCACCAAATCCCGTAGGAAGAAGGGCAATAACGACTTTCCACTTGATAAAATTCACCAAACATTCTCTTTGTTCTGGCTTTAAATCCTCGATCTCGTGAGTCGTTGCCAACACAGAATGTCTGTCTTCGTCTACATCCATCTCGACCACTTTGTTTACTGTTGTGCTGAACCACAAAAGGGACTCAGACAGACGCTTGAGTTTGACGTCATGGCTTCACAGCTCTTCACTGATTGGCCGGTGCGTGGTCTAAAACTTCTGGGGTTCTTGCAAACCATCTAGTGTATTCTGATTCCTGACCTGGTCACTGGAAAGAAATCAAATTGAGCGAAGGCATGTGGTGGCACCAGCCTGGTTAGTGATTTATTGTGACTGAACTGAAATGTACTGATTTGAAATGTTTTAAAGTGACTATCGATGTTGATGTTTTGTCTGGAAAAGGAAAAATGGGGCAGATAACATAAGATCACTCTTCTTTCTGCTCTTTCATTCATTTCTTGTGTTTGATGTTGTGACACAATACAATACGATTATAAATGATAAACTTCTACGCCTTCTTTATCATTATTATTAGTTTGTACGACTAGAGCGGCTTGATTATGAAAAAAATCATTATCACGATTATTTTGACCAATATTGAAATCACGATTATTCAAACGATTACTTTTTACACCGTACTGTCGATGTAAATGTCTGTGTCGATAGAATAATTTTAGAAGTAAATCCAACCTTGCATTTGAAGGATTTATGTCTGAGCAGCAGCAGCGAGTTGTACTTCCTGATAGAAAACATGGCAGTGGCGGACTGATATATGAGAAAATAGTTCCTCAACATGCGACAATTCAGGAGATGCAAGGTTAGATTTATTTCAAACATTATTCTATCAACACAGACATTCACATTGACAGTCGTGACAGTAGTATGTGTATGATTATTGTTTCTCTCTTGGCACAAACTCGAAGTAAAAACTAATCAATCTTACCAGTAAATTGGCCTGGTTACTAATTGCTTGTCTTGGTGGAGATAGACAGGTTTAATGCCATGCTGTGGAACATTCCAGGCAGCTCAATAACATTTCCAAGGAGATATAGTGCACCTTTAACACCAGCTGCAAAGAAAGAGCTCTGAAAAAATGTCACTTCATCACTTCAGTCACTTCATACAGGCTGGAACCTTTGGGCCAAACGATGACACATTTTCCAGCATGCACTTGAATGCAGCGTAAGCTCTTTAACTGGAACACGGTGACCTTAGTTTGACCCATCACCTGTCAATCACAGCGCCGGGCTCAGACACCGCCGCTGATGTTTAGAATTAAAGATGCGACGAGTATTTGAAGAGTTCAGAGTGCCAAATAAAAGAAGGGCCACGATTGCCACACTGTTTAAAAGCATTCATCCCAAAAACTACATTACTATTCTACCACATGCTTGTCTCCATGGAGATGTCAAAGCTTTACCTGGAATATTCCACAGCATGTTGCATTTATTCAATTACAGCTGTTTTAACGCTCAAAAATACCTCGAAAAACATACATTCTTACTGTGAGTGGGATTGCTTTTCCGGAGATCTAACCTGTAAATTAACAGATAAATAAGTTTAATGCCACACTGCGAAACATTCTAAACCAGGGGTGGACAAACTTTTTTACTCGTGGGCCACAAAGGGTTCGAAAATTTGACGAAAGGGCTGGACTAAGAGCAGACGGACAAAGTTTTTTGGTAATCCACCTCAAAAGAGAGAAAAAAAAACCTAATAATTATTAAAATATCCCAAAAAGCATTACAACAAAATACCAAGTTTTTTACTATTTATTGAAAATTACTTTTAAAACACTGAAAATTATTATTATTTAAATTCAGTGGCCCAGATTATAAAGATTAAAGGGCCGCTAATGGTTCCAGGGCCGTATTTTGCCCACCCCGTTTAAAACAAATCAGCAGCATTCACCAGAAAAGTTACACAGTGCAGCTTTAAACAGGATTTTGGTTCGTAACACGTAGAAAACAGGTACAGTTGAACCTTCCAGTCACAGCAGCTGCCTCTACAGAAACAAGCGAAGTTACATAGTGGGGCTTTTAAACAGTATTTTGGTTCATAACGTGTTGAAAATGTGCAGAGAGAGTCTCGTAGGCGGTTGTTATCGTGGAAGGATTCAGCCCAGTTTTGGATATGAATAGCTCAGACCACAGCGTGCCCTGCCCTCGCGTTGTACAGACCCATACTTAAACACGTGTAATTTAACATAACAACACACGCACACGACCTGGGAGTCCATGGCCTGCACCAAAACTCAAGTCACAACATAGTAATACTTCATTTTGTTTGCATCTTGAGACTTAAGTTAACGCTTTGTTCCTGTTCACCATAGAAGACAATGTTTTTTCCGAACTATATTCTCGAGGACAACATTAAAATACATAAAAATCATGATTTAAAAAGTTGCACTAGTGTTTCTAAATTCAAGAAAATGTAAAACTGTAAAATAATAATGGACAATGTGACTAAGGAAAATGTTTAAAGTTAATGAAAGCATAAGTAACATGCATATGGCTCATTGATTAGTGACTTGGTGGGGATTGATTATTAAAGAAATTTTAAATTTTTTGATCTGTGAAATTTGCAGAGTTTATATGATTTATCTTCTTCCTGTTCCTTTTGTTTATGCCGCAAAGACGAGGAAAATAATGGTAGAAATATGTATTTATGTTTATTAATTGTCAGTTTTTGTTGTTGTTGTTCTCTTTAAATTGATGCCAACAAAATAATAGACAAAATAAATAAATAAATATGAAGTTATCCAAAAATTAGGAGCATTGTCATAGAAATTAATATTAAAATAAACGTTTATTTTTGGTGATATCAAGATTATGTGGTTAATCGAAAATTTGGATTCTTAAAATACCCATACGTTTAGAATTATGAAAACTTAACTGTAACATTTTGTAACAGTGTAATCAAAACTGTCAAATATATGTTCTTTTATTGTATATTAGAAGGTTTTGGGACTCGTTCCAAATGTGGACGGTGGAATATGATACAGATTTACCTAATGTCGCCTAATATTGACTAATTTTGCAAGACAACAAATGATAAATATGATATAACATGATAAATAAATGCAGATTCTTAAATATAAAACCCTTGTTCAAAATGTATCTTAATGAATTTTTGCAGTTTAAGAGAGTCTTGTGCCATATTCAATCTAAACAAGCCGTTATAATGAATAATTTTATGGAGTCAGATGTATTGAATAGTATTTATATTGTTTTTATTTATTTTATTAATTGTACATTTAAAAAACTCTATGAACTCAGTCAAAAAAATGCACTTTTGATGTATTTTGTATTGCATTGTATAGCATTGATTTTAAAATAAAGGAGAAAAAAATAAATTAATTGTGACACCGGCAAAAACAAAAAACCCCAAAACGTAGCACCGCTGCCACAGAGATTAACCATTTAAAACTAAATCTTAAATCTTTTGAACGAGTTAAAAGTCTTCAGAGTGTTGGATATGCTGTAGCAGAAAGCTGAAACACACAGATGCAGTGCAAATAATTTTATAATTTTAAGTTTATGAAAGTTTATCTTGTGTTATTAATATACTGAAGCAAAGTTACGTAAGCTCAAAATGCTCTGTTCCACCTTGTGATGTAATGTCTTAGTAGAGATAAAGGCTAAAACTGTCCAAAATGATTCTCGTGAAGGTGCATGGAGTTTAAAAACACACTGTTTCTAGTTTGAGAGAAGAATTAAAGCTTAAATATTCAGGATGAGTTAAACGTGTGAATGAAACAAAACACAACTCCAGGTCTGTTTTTGACGAGAAAATAAAATCATAACATCAGAAAATAAGACTAATATGGGTGCTTTAAATGTTTATAGTATTGACCCAGCACTACTTAAAGTCTTAATTTCTTTATTAATTATCTCCATAGCTTCTCAGTCTCCTCCTCTTCCCGCTTCTGGAAGATATCTGCCGTTAAGTCTCTGCTCCCTCCTCCTCTTCAGCTTAGTGTGTCTGCGTTACCCAGTGGTGCACGTCTCTACTCATCTCTCCTCTCATCCTTTAGATCATTTCTCTAGTTTATTTAAGTTTGGATTTCCTTTGCAATGAAGCTACACAGGATACTCTACGTTCTGGGGTTTCTCATTCTTTGCCAAGGTAAGTAAAGATGAGCATTTTTTGTATTTTATTGTGAATTTTAGATAGTTAAAATACTATAATTTTTGTTAAAATGTTGTCAGCTTTTCAGATAACTAGTATTTATTAGGCAATGTTTACAGTCCAGTTATTACAGATGTCAGATAAAAGTTTAAAATACTATATATATGCTTTTAAAAGTCACTAAAAATACTGCAAATCAGCTAATTAATATGAACTTTTTTGTATTTTTAACCTAACTTTTATTGTTTAAAGTGGGTTCCAAAACTTTCTTCCAGACCTAGATTTGGGGGTATTCCTTTCACCGCAAGTCCACCACAAGTCCCGCCTACTTTTGACATTTGATTGACAGCTGCGATGACCTGTTATGCACGGGCAGGGGCGGGACTTAAGGGATGAGAGGTTTTTTTATAGCAGGCTGATCCTATTGAGGGCAGTGCAGTGTCCCGTACGCATGTGGGCTAATTGCAGAGTGGAAACCCAGGCTCCTGTTGTGGTTATGCCTAGTGTAACGCCACACACGGCCACTAGGGCAACATCTATGTACACAGAGAAACACTACAGAACATTTCCGGTGCTTGCTTGTCTCCATGGAGATGTTATCACTCTGCCTGGTGTGTTTCACTGTATGGCATTAAACCATCTCTCTCTAAACCCTAAAAACAGAAGATAGATTAAGTTAAATGCCATACTGTGAAGCTTTCCAAGATTCCAAGTAAAGCAATGACATCTCCATGGAGACAAAGCAGATGGCATAACAACAGAAAAGTTACATAGTGCTCCTTTTGTTAGATGTGTGAATTTGAAACTATTTTACAGTATGTTAAATCACTGGTGGAAAAAAAGTGAGTCCATCCATTTTCTTCCACTTATCTGGGGCTGGGTCGCGGGGGCAGCAGCCAAAGCAGGGACTCCCAGACTTCCTTCACCCCGGACACTTCCTCCAGCTCCTCCAGGGAGACCGTAAGGCGTTCCCAGGCCAGCCCAGAGACGTTGTCTCTTCAGCGTGTCCTGGGTCTTCCCCGGGGTCTCCTTCTGGTGGAACATGCCCAAAACAGGAGGCATTCAGGAGGCATCCGAACCACAGACCATATATATGAGTGGACATAGCTAATGCTCTAGCCACTGTGTGCCAAATAGGACGTTCGCCAGGAGGCTCTTCTGGCTCCCTCTGAATCTGGCTCCAATTGACTTACATTAGGATCTTGTCGCCACTCTCTCTGTAACTGCTGCAGTGAGCCTCGTCATTTTAGTCTCTGCATGATCCTGTTTTTTTTTCGCTATTTTGTCCATCAAAATAATCCTATTCATAACATAGAGCCTGGCTCCAGATTCGCTCCTGTAAACATCAACAAGCCTAGCTTGTGATGGGTGACATCACACTTGCTTAGTCCACTTCTTTTATACAATCTATGATGCGAACAGATGCCCGAGCCACCTCAGCTGTGCCTCTCAACGTGGAGGAGCAACGGCTCTACTCTGAGCTCCTCCACCCTATCTCTAAGGGAGCACCCAATCACCCTGAGGAGGAAACAAATTTTGGCCGCTTGTATCCATGATCTTGTCATTTCGTTCATTACCCAGAGCTCATGACCATAGTTGAGGGGAGGAACGTAGATCGAGCGGTAAATTGAGAGCTTTGCCTTTGGGCTCAGCTCCCTCCTGAGTCTGTTTTTGCAATTGTGCACAAAAGTATGTGAATAGACTTGTTAAAGGTTGCCTACGAACTTTTCTAGCCACCTGCTTTGTCTCCATGCAGATGTTATTGCTTTGCCTTGAATATTCCCAAGTATGGCATTACGCATACAGTATCTAATATATCATTTTGCTTAGTTGTGAATGTTTTTGTTGCTCTAAAATACCTCGTAAATCATGCATTAATTTCTTACTTGTGTGCTCACCTTTCTCCGACCTGTAAATTGGCCGTGGAGCTAAGTGATAAGTTTAATGTGAAAAACTGAACTAGGAGATTATTTAATACACATTTCCTTTCCTCTGTGTTTTCAGGTGAGGAGGAGAGCGGGGAGTCTGAATCGGAGCCAGAATTGTGCGATAACTTCACAGACTTGAATCTTTCTCACTGTTTCATGGGGACGTCTTTATACGTGCGCCTGCTCCTCTACACTCGCTCTAATATGTACTGTGGACGTGAACTTCGCCATCGAAACCCCTCAAGCCAGCCCCTCTTCGACCCCAAGCGTCCCACGGCCTTCGTCATACACGGATACAGGCCCACGGGAGCGCCCCCTAGCTGGATCGACCGGGTGGTGCAGGTGCTGTTGGCCCACGACGACATGAACGTGATCGTGGTCGACTGGAACAAAGGAGCGGCCAATCTGAATTATTTCATCGCTGTCACCTACACCAGAGACGCAGCGCAAAATCTCACCGACTTTATCATCACTATGCAGGTGAGTTAAAGAGGGACAATGGGACTTTTCTGGTCTGGTCCGCCATCTGCTTGTCGTCATGGAGATGTTGTTGCTTTGTCTAGAATGTTCCACAGTAGGGCTGGGTATCGTTAAGAAGTTGCCGATACGATACAAACCTCGATACATAGGCCACGATACAATACATGTCACGATACAGTGCGGTTTTGATTCGATATGATATATTTCGAATCAATTTGAAAAGTTTCACTTAAAATTATGGTAAAGTTAATATGGAACACAAACATTTTAATCCTCAAATCTGTGAAAATGTCAAATGTGTCGCATAAACAAGTTTTCTTTCACTAAACAAGCAACAAAACTGTAGCGCTGTAACAAAATAATTTAGTTAAATATACCAAAAAATATTCTTGTCGATATAACAATACATCAGTCCACAATATTGATACTGTATCATCACATTAAACGATATGATATATCGATATTTCAATATTTTTCCACATCTTTATTGGCATTTAACTATATCTTGTTTGCTAAAAAGTATCTTGAAAATCATGCGTTCTTACTGTGAGTGTAATTTGGCCTTGTGCCATCACCTGCTTGTCTCACTGGAGATAAACAAGTTTAATGCCATACTGTGGGACATTCCAGGCAAAGCAATAACGTCTCTATGGACAAAAGGTCGCATACACTCCACCACAAAAATACACACGGCAAAAAAGCTTAAAATATAAACACAGTCAAGCCCAAAATTATTCATACCTCTGGCAAATTTTGACTTAAAGTTACTTTTAGTTTTTTCTTGATTGGAAATGACACAGGCATATCCCAGAAGATAAACAGACAATGTACAAGAGGCACCACTGTGGAAAAAAAATATTTCTCAGCTTTTATTTACATTTGAACAAAAAGTGGCATATCCAAAATTATTCATACCCAATAATGAATAGAAAAGCCTTTATCAGCTATTACCACAATCAAACGCTTCCCATAATTGCTGACCAGTTTGTACATCGTCTGTTTATCTTCTGGGAGACGCCTGTGTCATTTCCAATCAACAAAAAACTTGCTGGTTGAATAAAAGTAACTTTAAATCAAAATTTGACAGGGGTATAAATAATTTTGCGTTTGACTGTAAATCTATCAGAAAATGACTGAAAAGTAGTAAAATTATCTTGCTGCATGGACAGATAAGTTTACTTGGCAAGTTATCTTAAAATAAACCACCTCTAGACTAGAATTCATCAGTCTCAGATCTAGTAAGTAGAAAATAAAACTGAAAACAAGATGAATAACCTGATACAAGTTTTAAAATCTTGTCCAGATCAGAGAAATTTGCAGTGCACTTTTGTTTATTTAGACCGGCAGAGAAGACTAAACTTGATAGTCCCACTAATTACAGGGATACTAATCACAACTCAGGTCAACAAATCTGCAATCTGATAGTTAAACAGCAAATTTACACCATATAATTCTGACCGGTTCTGTTGTAAACCCTCTTACTTGTGTAATTCCAGGAGGAGGGAGCGTCTCTGGACAACATCCACCTGATCGGGGTCAGTCTGGGGGCTCACCTCGCCGGGTTTGTGGGCTCAAATCTCAAAGGGAAGATCGGACGCATCACAGGTACAAAATCCAGACCAAACCAGAGGAAAAGACTGTAACAGAAGAGGCAGACATGATATCACTGACATGTTTAAACCCACACAGGCTTAGACCCGGCTGGCCCCATGTTCACCAGCGCCGGACCAGATGAGAGACTGGACCCAAGCGACGCTCAGTTTGTGGACGTCCTGCACACGGACATGGACTGTGAGTTTAAACAACAAATCAATAACACAACAATCAAATACAAAAAGTATCAAATCACACAGAAGGTCTAAATATTTTCAAGGTGAACAGGGGAAATGATGTGGACTAAAACAGTGTTATTTTAACTATTTAAAAGGTAAATAGGGGTTGGAGTTGGGGTTATTTGCCAGAGCTGATGTGGCTGAAGTTAATTCAACTTCCCCTAGTGTTAATTCAACTTCTTCTAGTGTTAATTCAACATCCTCTAGTGTTAATTCAACTTCCTCTAGTGTTAATTCAACTTCCTCTAGTGTTAATTCAACTTCCTCTAGTGTTAATTCAACATCCTCTAGTGTTAATTCAACATCCTCTAGTGTTAATTCAACTTCCTCTAGTGTTAATTCAACTTCCTCTAGTGTTAATTCAACTTCTTCTAGTGTTAATTTAACTTCCCTTAGTGTTAATTCAACATCCTCTAGTGTTAATTCAACTTCCTCTAGTGTTAATTCAACTTCCTCTAGTGTTAATTCAACTTTCTCTAGTGTTAATTCAACTTCCCTTAGTGTTAATTTGGCACCTCCCACCCACCACTTCAAACTCCCGCAAGAGAAGACCACTTTGAACCAATTTTGTGCATAATTTCATCTTAAATTAACTAAAATAAAGTGTAAAAATGAAACACCTCTGTGTGCCGTTTCACTAAATCAGGATAAATCTACAAAGTGTTATCTGTTTACTCTGAAAACATTAATATAACTCTGGATTTTGGGGTTAAACAGGAACTTTGGTCCAGTGTTACTTAATTAACATTTTCCAAAAATGTTAAATTAACTCTAGAACAGATTGGACTCATATAAACCCTGAGAAAATGTTGAAATTGATTCTGTGAGAGTCAATTTTAACATGCACACTTTTTGTTGTGTAGTCAATGTCATATTTTTGGTTTGAAGTATCATGACTGAAAATGAAATAACACATTTTTGCCAAATAAAACCATCATTAAAAGTAGACATTTCCAACAAATGAAAGAAAAGATCCAGCGTCAACTTTTCAATTCCAAAGTCCAAAACCAGATCTCAACATCTAACACATCTGCACATACAGGAATACAATACAATTTATCATAGTTTAAAAAAAATAATTAATCTTATTCTTGTTTAATCAGACTCATTTGTTTTTTTTCTTCAGCATTTGGACTGAGAGGAGCCCACGGTCACATCGACTTTTACGCAAACGGAGGAGCCGACCAACCGGGCTGTCCCAAGACCATCTTTGCAGGTAACACTCAGAGCAAATACTATCACAGCGTCTGGTTTTGGTTTTCAGTGGGGAACTTTACATCACCAGTAAAATCAGATAACTAGAATAATCAGATAACCCAATCATTAGATCTGATTTTGGTCTGTGTTTACAGCAGAGGTGGGGATTTGAGTCAGATTTGAGTCACTATTTTTAGGACTTGAGACTTGATAAAACGGACTAAGACTTGGGACCCGACTTGGACTTGAAGCTCAATGACTTGGGACTTGACTCGGACTTAAGGCCTGTGACTTGACAAAACTTGAGGCTTCTCCTAAAAAAATATGTTTTTATAAAATACTTTCCTCTTTTCAGTTGATACATGCGTTGCTTAATTTTACGGGAACAAACTGGAACATGTCACTCTCCATATGTTACTTTGGGTGTAACTGAAGTACTGCGATATAGTATCCTCAAATCTACTACAGTAATATACACAGTAACAACACAGTGAAACAAAGGGAACTACATAGATCATGATCCTTCCATTTCAGTGCAGACTACAAGACAAAATAACTTATTAAGCATTTCTAAGTCTGAATTCCTTCTATTCTGACTGCAATGATTCACACTAAGAGCTTGTCAAGACATTTAAAAACTAAATATTTACATTTCTACAACTCTTATATATATAAATATACCACTTTTTTTTGTTTATCTTAAAATTCATATAAATTGCAAAAATCTAAGCTATATTTGGTATTTTGGTTTAAAGACTTGAAATGACTTGAAGCTCAAAGCAGACGATTTGGACTTGACTTGGACTTATGGGCCTGTGACTTGAGACTCGACTTGGACTTGCCTGTATTTGATCTGGGACTTGACTTGAACTTGAGGTTAAAGAGTTGAGACTTACTTGAGACTTGCAAAACAACGATTTGGTCCCAAATCTGGTTTATAGTACAAAAGAAATCTGATTATCAGTTAATAAATGGATTTTTAGAGCAACTATTGTATTTAGAAGTAGAAATAATATCAGACGGAACTCTTTTCATGGTATTGTAGTAATCTGATAACTCCAGAAATCAGATAACAATCAGACTTGTGGTGTGCATGCAACCATAGTCATTGCCCTAGGTTGACGCTTGAGCAATATAGAGAAGAAATTGTGTCAAACGAATTGCCCCCCACACACGTCTCATTCATCGTGTTTATCTTTTATCTCTGTCAGGGAAGTCATATTTTGTGTGTGACCACCAGAGGGCGGTGTTCCTGTACCTCTGCGCTCTGAACCAGACCTGCTCCATCACCGCGTTTCCCTGCTCGTCCTACAGCGACTTCCTGGACGCCAAATGTCTCCAGTGCGAAGCCTTCAAACCCGCCCCCTGCCCTAAACTGGGTAAGAAAAAAAAAAAGAAAGAAATTAGAGGTTTAGTTGATTTCTGTTGTCGCATTTAGGAGTGAAGCAGTTCAAATGATGCTTAAAACAGCAGCTGCTAGTTTAAAAAATGAGATTCATCTATTTTAGTTTTGCTCTTCTTTAAGGCAATTTGTAGCATCGAAATGTGTCTATTGATTTTAAAACAAGAAGAGCACTTTCTGGGTTACCACGTAATGACATCACTATGTGGAACAGAGCATTTCCACATCAGGTTAATGCTATACTGTGAAACATTCCAAGAAAAGCAGTGAGATCTCCATGGAGCGAGGAGGTCCATCAGAAAAGTGACACAGTGCACCTTTAAAGGACCACAGAAAATAAGAGATAGTTCAGAGAGTTTCCAGATTTTTACATTTACATTTTAATTGTTTTATTTATTTATTTTTTATGTGTGTGTTCAGTTTACGACTTGAGCCCGTGGAGAGAGGCTCTGATCCGAATGGGCCAAACCAAAGTGTTCTTCAGCACCTCGTCTTCTCTGCCGTACAGGAGTGAGTACTGCGTCTACTGTATTTACTACTTATATATGGCTGTGATTTCCTCTGTCATTTTTTCACTGTTGTCGTGTTTTTGTGGTTTTTTTTGTTGTGCAGAGCTGAGTTACAGAGTCGACTTTGTCACGTGGAACCAGTACCTGCGCTGGGGAGTGGTCTACATTCGGCTTCACAGCAGCAAGAGCTTCACAGAGGCCCGAGTCGACCAGTGAGTCACATTTAGACTTATGTATTTAATTAAAGTAATGTAACTTTTCTGTCACCTGCTTGTCTTCGTGGAAATTATTATTGGTTTGTCTCTAATGTTCCACAGTATGGCAGTATGACTCAATATCTAAACCTTGCCCCAAAACCACATTTCAAACAGAGCTGCTAGACTGGCATAAGAGTCTTGTGTGATGTCACCAACTACTTGAACTTGTAGTGACCCCTGAAGGCAGCACAGACTTAGATTTTGTACATTTTTGACCAGAAAGCTGCAAATTTACCTAAACTGCACTAAAATCACCCAAAAAAACCACTAGAAACAATAGACAGTGCTATTAAAACAGTATTTTTTTTTTGTATTTTTAAAAATATGATGCCAAAAGGTCAAGTTACAGGTTTAGATCTGTGGAGAGGTGAGCATGTTTCAGGTATTTTGGGCAATAAAACACATGTAAAATGCAAGACTGACAAGTTTAATGCCATATTGTGGAACATTCCAAGCAAACCAATAACATTTCTGTCTATAAGCAGATGACATCCCTCCCACCAGTGAAGCTCACCTTTAAAAATGTTTTTCGCTTTAAAAAATACGACTCAGAAACACTATTTACACATTATGAGGCGTTTCAACAAGTACTTGAGTTAGTATCTATGGCCCTATCCCCAAATCCTCCTGAGTTACAGTTGAAGTTTTTTGTTGTTGGTTTTTTTTTCAGTAAACTCCTTCGTTTTGAGCAGTACACGTCCACTCGGCTGCTCGCTGAGTTTGACGACGACATTTCCAATATTCAGAAAATCTCCATGAGGATCAACACCGGGAACGTGATCGGACCTCGCTACAAAATCAGACTCGTCAGGGTCCGATTCACCCCCCTGGACCAGCCTGACAGGTGAGGCCCTGACAAGGCCTCGATTAGACCTGGTTTAGACTTGGTTTAGTCCTGGTTTAGACCTGGTTAAGTCCCAGTTTAATCCTGATTTAGACCTGGTTAAATTCTGGCTTAGACTTGGTTTAGTCATAGTTTATGGTTCAGTCTTGATTTTTGGGTTAAGTCCTGGTTTAGACTTGGTTTGGTCCTGGTTTAGACTTGGTTTGGTCCTGGTTTAGACTTGGTTTGGTCCTGGTTTAGTCTTGGTTTAGGCCTGGTTTAGGCCTGGTTTATGATTTGGTCCTGGTTTAGTCTCGTTTTATGGCTTAGTTCTGGTTTAGACTTGGTTTAGTCCCGGTTTAATCCTGGTTTAGTCCCTAGTTTAGTCATGGTTTATGTTTTGGTCCTGGTTTAGTCTTGTTTTATGGTTTGGTTCTGGTTTAGTCCCAGTTTAGTCCCCGGTTTAGTCATGGTTTATGTTTTGGTCCAGGTTTTGTCTTGTTTTAAGGTTTAGTTCTGGTTTAGTCCCAGTTTAGTCCTGGTTTAGACCTGGTTTATGGTTTGGTCCTGGTTTAGTCTTGGCTCAGTCCTAGCTAAGTCTGGGCGGTAATTGCCTAAAGGTTAATTGATCACCTACACAGCCTGTATAATTTAAAACTTCACTGTGTAACATTTCTGGTAAAGGATCTGCCACCTGCTTGACTGAGATATTTTAATCACCTGTAATGTCACACAGTGTGGCATTAATCTTATTCATCTTGCATTAAATTAGTAACAGGTGTTTTTATTGCTCAAAAACACCTGCCTTCACTAGAAAAGTGACTAAGTGTAGCTTTAAAATAACTAAAACAACATTCACTAACACTTACCAAATGTCTTTTCCATCTTTTTTAGGCCTGTGATGTGCAGATTCGACATCATCATGGAGGAAAACATGGACGTGTCTTTTCGACCTTTGCCCTGTAACACAAACTGACCCCGGATCAGCCACAAGGATAAAAAAAAACCAATACATTTTACAGACTCATCAGATTTTAATACTTGAAGAAATACGCAAAAACATACATAAAATAATGACGGACCACGTGAAAATCAAGTGCATTTTGTGGTATTGAGCGCCACCTAGTGTATGTTTACAGGACTGACCAAAATACAAGTCAAGAACTGCTCACTGAAATTTAAAATGGCGCAAACATTACATTTTATATATTTTTTAGGACTTCTTCTCTTTATTTATTTCTTTTTTTTAAACTTTATTTTATTTAATGTTTTCCTCTCAACGAATGAAGCGACACGATTAATTAAATTGTGTTGTTTGGCGCCACCTAGAGGGATATAAAGGACTCGTAAACTGCATTTTTATTAGTAGGAAACTTACAAATTGTGGTTATTTAATAGACAATAGTGAAATATAAATGAGGGATTAAATTTGAATATTAAACAACGCAAAAGCTTTTTAGAATTACTGCTACTCTGGGCCAAAAGGGGGGTTCACTTACCTTTTTTTTTTTTTTTTTTTTTTGTCTTTTTTTTTATATATTAATACAAGAAACAAAACAAGATACTTCCACTGTGTATAATTATCACAAATGTGCCTTGTTTGCAGCAGCATTAATTTGAGTTGTGTTAAAAGACTCAACTTCCCATGATGCTTTGAGCGAGAGTGAGCCGTTATGTTTGTGCATTAACGCCGCAATGACGTTTTTAAAGTGTTATTTTTAGTTTAGTTTTAGTGTAAAGATTAGAAATTAACATTTAGGACAACAGAGCGGCATCCAGTCACATTGTATGTAAATTGTCTTTTGTATTTTTGGAAATAAAATGTTACGGGTTTTTTTTAAGTATTTGTCTGATGTTTTTGTAATTTCGGTCTCAAAACTCACCACTCAACGCATTCATAAAACCAATGCTTGTTTAAAATGTAATTAAACAACAAAACTTAAAGCTACAGTATGCAACTTTAATTAGAAAATAGACTAAAATAAGAGTTTGGTTGTTTTTGTTGCACTAAAAAGCTTACATCTCCACAAACCTGACTCTTATTTAGCCTGGAAGAGGGCTTTAGCTTGCTCGTTGCCTTGGAGATTTGGGTATAATCTTGCACAGTACAACATAAAGCTCATCTATAGCCATGTAGAATGTCCCGCAGTAGGCTTTAACTTCCCATTTCCATTGAACCATGCTGGTGACTTGCCATCTCCAGAAAGTTATATAACATGAGACGCAGAATCTGAAATTTTGTTCTAAATTTGTGTTGAAAATCTGAAAACACTTAATAAAAATGCCCTCTATTGGCCACTGCCTCATATTACACAGTATCTTGAAATAAAAAACTGAAGTGAAGACCACGTTCTGAACACAAAAGTCTCTTTATTGTGAGAAATGTGCAGCACAAACAAAAATGAAAAATTAAACTCAAAGTATACAAATACAGTTGACAGTGGTTTACTGTCACATTTCGAAGCTGAAATTAGTCGAATTCCAATATTTTCCTAAAAGAAATACCTCTGAGCGGTCACCAGTTTGGACCTGTAAATAAAAAAAAAACAACAACAAAAAAAACAAGAGGTTAGGACAGTACAGAGAATAGAGAACATTTACAGTGTACAATATGAGATGGAGGGCAGGGGTTTTGTGAAAGAAATACTTTGTTTTGCTTGAAATTAGGTTCTCAAACTTGCCTTTTAAGTTGGATTGTGATCAAAATTAACAAGCACACACACACGTACAACTATACAATGCATTTCTATAAACTGAATTACTGCATTATTATTATTATGTATCACTGTTGCTGCTGAAAATATAAATAAATAAAGTATCTATATCTATCCGTCTGTAAGCCCAGGTCATTTTCACACTGATGTAAAAGAGCATTTGCTAAGAGAGTGGGTGTGAAATCAGCGCATCCTGATTCACATTAAAGAACAGTTGGTGTCGGAGCGGCTCCTCTTCTCACACTCTGGAGCGGGGAGAGTGAGATGTGAACACAGCCGACCTACACAGTCCACGGGGCGAGTAGAAGCGCTCAGAGTTGTTGTAGTCAAGACCGCAGTATTCGAGACCAAGACCAGTCCGAGACCACAAGGTCCCAAGACCAAGACCACGGCACATGGACATCAAATCGAGACCATCTTGGTATTTTTCTACATTTATGTGTATTTTACAGTTATCTGTCGTGTCTCCACTAGGCTTGTGCTTCAGTACATTGCAGGCTGACCGAATGTTTCTGTTTGTGTCTCGCTCCTTCTGAGTGCAGAGAGCTACATGTACAGACCCGTTTGGTCACACTACTCACAGCAACCTACATTCGGTTTGTCGATTAAAATTAACGTAATCGATGAAATTCTTAATGATCAATTATCGATTAATCGACTAATCATGGCCATCCTAGTCTCCACCACCAGTGTCAAAGTCATCACGGTGTAAGAAAAGACCACTACTAACAAAACAGGACCAGGGGAGTGAGTGTGTGCGTATTCACTGGGGTCAGTCTGATTGAAGCTCGTTGTCATGGACTTAAGATCCGTCAAATGTCAAATATTATGTTTTGAAATGTTAATTACTGTAACAATGGTCTTAAGTTACAATATCTGCAATATTATAAAGGAATTCAGAATTGTCCTCCACTTTAATTTGAAACTATGAGCAGCTTAATGTGGTTTCATGTGACAAACCCGACTGTGGACCCGTGTGAGCCCAAAACCAAAGTGACAGAAACAATGAAAATGATCCTACCAAACACTTTAACAAAGGAAAACTGGAAATTCTTTGTGACATAAAGACTCAGCTATCTGAAGATGCACCGCTATGGAAGAATAAGTTTCAATCAATCATTTGTTATTTTCTGTCTGGTGAGCAGCTTCAAGGCAATCTATTAATGTAAGGTTATTATATTTCAAAAGACAGAGCACCTTTTACTGAAATAAATCCAGCTTAATACTGCCATTGTCAATTGTCTATTTTTTTCCACTTTGATTTTACAGTAATTTTGACACAGTACCTCCGTTGTTGTTGCGGTAGTTTGGTCGCCTCATTTGTCGGTTGTTTCTACGAAAAGGACCGTTTGAGCGGAAAGGCCCCCCTCTCCTCGGACCCTTCAATATTACCAAAATATTTTAAAATCAAATCAAATTTATCTTTAAATCATATTTTTGTTCATAGGTTAGCTCCTCACCATTGTTCCTTCCTGTCTCCTCTGGGGCTCCTCAGACCAGTTTGAAAACTCTGCTTCCTCCAGGAGCTCTTCGTCATGGCCGTACGTCTGCTCACTGGAACAAAAGACGTTTCACAATGCGGCATTAAATTTGGAAAAGTGCAATAGGACACTGTACTATGAATCTGAAATGCAGTAGAACAGGATTTAGTCCATTATAATAATTATAATAACTATAATAACTATAATAACTGTAATTACTGTTCCCGTCTTTGTTCACTTGTCCTGTCCACCTGTACAGTCTCTGTAAATAGCATATGTTCGTTTTGTTTTTTGTCAAATGGAAATCAGCCCAAGGCTATAATCTAGCACGAACATGTCAAACTCAGACCCGGGGGCCAAATATGGCCTGCAATATAATTATATTTGGCCCGTGAGATTATATCAAATATGTATTAGAGCTGCCCGCCGGCTACAGATAGACTATAGAGACATTATTTATTTAAAATGTTATTATTTTATATTTTGCTTGTTCTGGATTCAGTGTTTGAGCAAAACTATTATTAAACATTTATTTTAATAAGAAAAGGTTTAACATTACATATCTCGAAAGAAGAGAAAACATGCAGATGTTATTGAAATTTTTCAATAAATAAATATTTAGGCCCACGACAGTTTTTAATATTGGCACCCCTGATCTAGCATATTTACATTTATTTACATGTTCATTAATGCACTGTACCCCATTTTCTTGAACAAATAAATTTAAAAACAACTATTACTAACAATTAATACAAGATAGATGCTTCACAGTATGGCACTAATGTTCCAGCCACAGCAAACACATCTCCATGGATACAAACGGCTGACAGTGACACAGATCCTCCACCAGAAAAGTTACAGCCCTTTTATGTATTCTAGCCTATTAAACATGAAACGCTGGCTGTAGAGTGAGTTGTCTCTGGTGAAGTTTTGACACTGGATCTTTTGTTTCTCTCACCTGTTGTGCATTGGGGAGGCCATTGGGGGGCGCTGTGGCTGATTCTGCCCCGCGATGGTGACCTTTACCCCCTCGAGCCGCTCCTGTCGTCTCTTCTCCAGGTCATGCCGGAGATCATCTGGGTCACGCACCATCGGAGACCCCAGCAGCTGCAGACCGCGAACCACAGTCAGGTTTATATGCGACAATTAAGTGAATTTGACAGTAAAAGTATAAAGTTTTACCTGAAGGGGGCCCTGCCTCATGAAAAGTTGGTCATCGCTGTCCAGGTGCGAGCTGGAATTTAACCTGCTAAAAAATAAACACAAGAAACAAGCAATAAATAAGAAGTTATAGCTAAGACTTTAAACTAAATCATAAAATTACTGCATATGGATGAGATTTAATTCTAATCACATATCACTATACAACATCAGCATGCATTTTTATCTATATCTGAGGCCAACTGTGTTATAGAAATTGACCTTTTTCTACAAAATGCCCAGACAAACCTTTAGTGCTATTGTTACCTTCTTATTCTTACTATTGAAAATGTGTTTAATGCTTCCAGACCTCAGGGCAATTTTAGAACATTTTTCGTCGCCTGGATTTTTTTCTTAATTTAGCTCTTAAAACTCCAACTCTTACCCCCTAATGAAGGGTTATACATCATTTTTTTCAGTATAACCTATTATTTCACAGTTTGTATGCTGTAGATGTGTCATATGGCCGTAATAAAAGCTATAGGACCAGAAATACAAATGAAAAAGGAAAAAAACTGAAAATAAAATTCACACTCTTTTATACAAAACACACAGCAAACATGTATGAAAAATGTTTGGACATAAAAAATGTTTAATTTAGGGCCTAAGTCTGTAAGTAAACAAAAAAATGCTAATTGCCCTTAGAACAAAACAAATGTGCAATTCCCCTTTTAGTTTACTGGTGCAAGTCATGGAAACAGCTCGTGTCAAGTCATTTCCTGCATTTCCATGGTGTTTATTACATTTGTATTTTTAAAGAATTTGTAAAAATAGTAATGGACACACAATTACGCAGACCAAGATGCGTAATTTGCCGCTTATTTGAGAAATGACTGCACTTAGAGCGGCTTTTTCAATTGATACATACACAGACGCTCAGAGCAGTCGATCATCTGGACTCCTTACACTCTTTGGCAAAGTTTGGGCCAATCAAAATGGATGGAGCGCATGTGTTTGGCAGAAAACAAAATTCCTATTGGACACTCATTTTCGTATACAATTCTGTCGGTCTGAAAGGGTTAAAAGAAATATCCCCTGCTCTTTTTTGACCCACACTCATCATAAGTATAAAGTTATCTACACATGCACTATTCGACTGTTATTCTCAGATAAAGTAGGTGTGGTTTTGTACCGGTTTGAGCCGAATCTCTCGCTCAGGGTCATCTCGTGCGGCTCTTCTTCATCATATTCGACTTTTTGAGGAGCAGAGAATCGTTCGTTCAGGGTGATACCCTCGCCCCCGAAATACAAATCTGAAAGGAATCAGATTTAATCACATTTAAATTCAACATTTAATCTGGTTCAGCCCAACTTAAAGTCTGAATAGGTACACAGTCGTTTGTTTTCTTAAACTTTTTTGCCCACTTGTGTTCATTATCCTCTTGTCTATCCATCATTTTAAAAAATAATGGGTAAGTGGGATTATATTCAGTCTAATACAAATATTTGACCATTGAAAATACAGCAAATTTAGACCCATGCTCAAGTTTCAGATCATTTAAGATAATTTATGGTCTACAAACAAGCTCTTCTGTGTGTCTTTTGTTGTGAAGTTCCTTTACGATATGCACGTTATAAATAAATAAATAAATGCTGTTCTTCAAAGCTCACAGATAAAAACCTGTGCCGAGTTTGCGTTACCTTTCACCAGATGGGTGAGCGTGATGATCTCTTGAGCGAAGGTGCCCGTCTGCTGGATGGCGTTTTCTCGGTTTGCCCTCGAGCTCTCGGAGGTGGTGAGGAAGTCCAGCCTCTGCCTCCCGACGTGCACCAGGTCCAGAGAGAGCTGCCTGTCCGCGGAGTACAGCATCGCACTGCGCACGGAGGAAGTGTTTAGCACAAAGGCACGAGGGCAAAGCTGCAGACATGGGCCTCAGCTTCATTTCAAGGACTATTATAATTATATGTGTATAAATAAGACTTAATGTTATCCCATTTAAGTTAGTAAATTATCAATTAGAATTATCCAATATGGAAGTCAATTTAATAACAGCTTTATTGGCTTTGCGTTTTGGGATTAGTTCATTACTTCATCCATTTTGACTACAGCATGTTTAGAGCAGCAATTCTTTAGTAAACTGCTTTTGTCACTATATTTACTTGTAAACTAATTTTAGCTGAAGAAATTATAGTAAAATTTGAATGAAAAGAAAGAAAAATTGCTTACCGCGATTACCCGACTTACCTGTGGGATCAAACATTTCTATTCAGTGCTTTTATCAAACTCTAAACTAAACTAAACCTTGGCCTAAAATAACTTAATGTGTCTTAAAGTGGCTCCAGGTTCAAGCGGGGCAAAGTTAAACCTGCTTTGGGTTCATTCTTCCGTTTCCTCCGAGATTATTTTTATAAATGTGGCTTAAGCTTCATGTCCAACAATCACACATTTTTCTTGTAGCCCTTGTTCTCGCTTCACTTTTTGTCAGTAGATTCAGAGCTTTATTGGTAATTTTTAGGGTACAGTGAGTCCATTTTGTGGCTTGGTTTAAATCATTTACACTCTTGAGGTTCATTCATGAGTCCATATTTTGGTCCAATCATAATTTCGCATCTTTGGTTGACACTTTCCTCCATTGTCGTCTTATAATGGAATAGGTTCACACGTGGAGATAGAGGTCCGTTATTCTTTTTCCATTTTATATTGTCACAGATAATGACACTTCTTTTATTAGGTACAGAGTGTTTCAGAAAATCCTTCACAAATCATTTCTTCTAATGGTTCATCCTTGGATACTTGTGAGATCTTCATTGCACAATATAATTTTTAGTGCAACTCACTCTCTCAGACTCTCAGATTTCTTTGAGATTCCAGGTCTTCCAAGATGAACTTTTGGCGCATACACATTTCTACAAAATATTCCCATTTTGTAAAGGGCAAGTGCAGCGTCCAACTTATTCTCTCATTGTAGATCATTGGACTAGGAACAAAAAATATAAACAACATTGGCTGACATTTTGGTAAGGTTTTATAAGGTTTAGGTCACAGAGCTGGAACTTGACTGGGGTGACATTTTTAAGCATCAAAAATATAAAAATCTACTTCCATTAATTTGTTTTTTAAGGTCTCCGTTCAAGTGTGGGTGTGCGAATTTCAGTGTAGATCATTGGACTGACAAAAAACAAAAAAATATATTTTAAAAATGGGAAAAAAAAAGAAAAAGAAAAGGGCAGACATCTTGCTAAGGCAGTACCATAAATTTGTGTCTTTAAGTTGTTCGTTTTGACATCTTCGATGGGGTTTGGTTAACATCTTTGCATCTTGTCCAATGCAATGTATAAGCTCAGGTTAACAATTGGTCTTCTTGCATTACTCGTTTAAGTGAATCAGTCTTCAAGATCTTGAAGTTGAAGCTGTCTATATTGTAACTGGAAAAACTCAATAGCTAGAACTAATCTGCTTCTGTTTATTGTGGATTCCAAGGAATTTTGGACTTTCAGCTGATCTTAAATTGAATGGCTGACTCTTTTTTTGAGATTTTGTTGGTCCTTTACATAATAACTGATGTAAAGTTTAAGCATCCAGTCGACTGCCACTTCACAGCTCTCAGACTGTGGTGAATGGTTTCCATAACATTATTCACTTGTTTTTATCCTGTTCAGGGGTTCCAACATGTCAGGTTCGGAAACAGGATTTTTTTCACATCCATAACAATTTTTTTTATGTGAACTTGAACCATGTTACAGTTTTGGTTGTTTCTTTTCTCCTCTAGTTCTTCAGTCCACATCGGTTAGCTCCAAATGCAACATTTTATTTTTCAAAGTGTTGATTTCTTCCAAAGGTTTTTCAGTGATAATTCCATCTTTCCAATGATCTTAAGGAGTCCTCAAAATGGCGCCTGTAAACAGGACACCAAAACTCATGATCATACTAGGAGAGACTGGTCTGTCTCAATTCCTCATTATTTGGGACATCTAAAATAGTGGAGCAAAACGAAAGCATTTCACATTTTTCAATAATTGTTTGATTGTATGTTTCCTATTCTCCTGCTGTTGGCTTACAACACTTGGCCTACAATTTTCTTTTATGGGTCAAAGTGAAATCTTCCTTGAAATCTTGAAGGTCTTTATAGGTCTCAACACTTTAGCTGCCAAACACTCTGCGCAGAGACACTAATGACATCTGAAAACATGTGGTTTCTTCTCATCTTGGGATTTTTCAGATCTTTGTGATGATGTGGCATTGCAGTATTTTCATCAATGGACTGGCTCAGTTTGAGAAGAGATTCTGTTCTTCCACTGTATTTTCAGATGTTTTCTGCCTTAGAGGTTCTTCAGTCACTTTGTTACAGAAGGTAATACAATCCATGTAACTCTTCTGAAGCTTCAAAACAAAGGGCTCACTGTGCACTTCAGTCTGAATGGCTTTAAATATGATACAACAGGATTTGTCTTGAGAGTAACTTTGTCCAAATGCACATGATTGTTTCTATGATGTCTCACCAAAAATGGTACCAGGAGGCTGCAATTTCTTCAAAGCTTTTCACTCATCCACTGATCCATGCCTCACTCCATAGGGATCATAAGGCCTCAAGTTTTCTTCATTCTCCTGCCTTTTTTCTTGAGGTCCAAACTCAAACTCAATTTCAGGTACAGCTGGAAAAACAACTTCCTTAACATCTGGAACCTCAGATACCATTATTTTAGGAAGTGGAAGTTGGTTTGATGCAATATTTCAAACACACGTTCGAGCATTTGAGAAACAGTGCTCAGGTCTTCACTTTGACAATATTCAGGACCAAACTTGCATGGTGTTTGCTCTTCTCATTTTTGTCTTGATTGTCTGGACTGTTGTGGTTGTTCTTCTGAAATCATCTTTTTAGATAGAGGAAAAAACCTCTACAATCAACTTTATACACAAATCAACTTCATCTGCTCTGTGCTTTTGGGAATATGATTTGGGCAGTGCGGATTGTACCTTTTTCCATGGAATATTTCCCATAATTTTCACTGTTGCTCATAATGATTTTCCCATTCATATCTGGTCTACAGCAGACCATTGTAATCTGATACTTCTGCCAGTCATGTTGAGTCTCTCCATTTCAAAATAAATTTATTGAACCACCTTTTCCACATCACAAACTCCTTTTACAGTCTTCTTCATGCCATCTTCTTTTGCGTTTGGACATCATTACAGTCTTCTCCATGCACTTTGGACTTCATCCAAACTGAAGGAATCTTACTCCATAAAACAACATTTAAGGACATTTCTTCTCTGGATTTGTAATATTTCCCTTAGTTTAAAGCCACTCCATGTTTAAAATACCACTGATCCTCCCTCACATCCTCCTTCTGACATCTCCACTGGTTTATACCTAATGCTGCCTCCCATGACCACTGTGTCTTCCTGAATTACACCCTACCTGTTCTTGTTCACCGGGCGACTCATGTCCACTTTGATGGTCAGAGTCTCCTCCGTTATGACCATCATGTTGGGTTTGGGTTCGCTGTGTCCTCGTAGCTCTCGCGGACGCTGCTGCATTTCAGGTTCTTGCCTCTGAAAATTCGACCTCTCTCCTCCATCTCCCCCTCTTCGTCCTTCAGCGCTCCGTCTATCATCTCTCCATTCCTGGTCTGGTTCTGCTTCTTCCCAGGCAGGCTCGGGCTCGTCATAAAACTCCTCCTCCATGAATTGACCTCTTTGTGTTTCGTTGGGAGCATTTTGGTGGTCTCCTTGTTGCTGTGGACGGTTGCCATGTGCTCCTCTTCCTCTCCCTCTGCGGTTAAAACCACCTCTTCGATTAAACCCTCTGCCTCTATGACCGGGCCTTCCTCTGTTCGTTGGTCTGTCCGTGTACTGAGCAAAGGTAGTAGGTCTTTCATGAGCGATTGGACTCGTCCTTGGTTCACGGTAACCGTCATTACTGTGGTTTTCCTCAAAATGGTCGCCCCTCAGTTCTTCTCTGCTCATAGACCTGGAGCTCCTGGGTCTCGAGGTAAAGTCTCGCTCTCTGCTGTGGCTGTACTGGTCCCGTCGTGGAGGAGGTCTGTCTTTCATTGGATCCATTATTGGATCATTTCGGTTTTGCTTAAACTCGAGAGGCCCCTTTCTGTCAAACCCATCTCTGCGATCGTCCGCAGAGAAGCGCTGCTCACGTGGCTTCTCCCACCCGTACCTGTGTTGGCACAAGAGGAGGCGAATGGTTCAAAACAAGTAAAAACAACAAATGTGATGATTTACAGTTCTGTTTCAGATCTAATATGATTCATGGCCCAACACCAGACTAATTTACAGAATGTGGTTCATAAGTCAAAAATGACAGCAATTTTTGCCACAGTAAACCAGTTTCATGGTGATTTGGCAAAACTGCTCTTCCTGAGCCAATTTTATTACAGTAACAGAAGGACTTTTGGTTGCTTTGACTTTGCAAAGATCATAAAACAGCAGGACCTTTGGGCAAAATCTGGACCACCAACCATCTGGTTGGACGCTCAAGACTTCCCATCTTTAACACTTCTAGCCTAGAACTGTAGTGTAAATAATTGTTTCCATGTCCCATTTTTTAAAAAAACTGGTGTCAGGCCATTGTTTTATGAATTACAGTTAATATCAGAGTTGGATTTAAGCCATGGTCATTTCTCAGATTGGCAGAGGTGAATATTCACATGTTTTACAAATATTTACTGTCGCCATGAAGGCCGTGAGAGTAACTTTTCCACCATTATGACCTTTGATAACGCAGTATGCTACGTTTCACATAGCCGGTACTCGCCAGTGCACTCATGCCTTTAATCCACACTTCTGATTATTAAGATCTGTGTTACAACAAAGTCTGGAAGGTTCACTAAGGAGAGGTTTTAACAGGACGGAAAGCAATACGTTATCAAGCCACTAAGATCTGTGAGAATGAAAAGCCGACAGAAGACAACAGAAAGAGGGGGGTGGTCTGAAAGGTGAGATTCCTCTGTGTTTCCTTGATTTCTGAAGTGTTCTGTTGGTGATTTACCCAAATTGAGGGGAGCCATCCATTTCCCTGCTCCTGTTTAACTCTGGGTTATCTTGGCCTGGGGTCCAGGTGTCTGTGTGGATGGGAATTTTCCTCCTCTGTTGCCCTCTGCCTCTCCCTCTCTGCTGGTTTCCCTCTCGTCTTATCGGGCTCCTGTCCCTATACCTTTCCCTGAACTCGCTTTCACTCTGGTCTCGCCTCCACCCAGGGTCTCTCTGTGCATAATTTTGCTTGTGCTGTGGTGGTCCTCTCCTATCTTCATATCGTCCCGTGTTTTCTCTATACGTCTCCCTGCGCTTTGGCCCATCTCCTCGTCCTTCAAACTGTGCTGGTTCATGATAAGGTGATGGTCTTCTTCTATTATAGTTTTCTTCTGAATGCCGCTTGTGTTGATGGTAGTCAGGGTGTCTTCTTTCCGAAAATTCCTCCCTTCTCCGATAATCTGCTTCTTCTCGGCCCGTAGACATCTTCTCCAGGTGAGCTACAATCTTATGAGGATCAAAACCAGGTTCTTCCCACGGAACTCTGAAAGCAAAATAAATAAATAAATAAATAAATAAATAAAACACAGTGAAGAAGCAGCTCAATAAATTTGGAACCATAAAATCATCTTAACTAGGACAATACCAAACATATACCTTTAGATTTACTTTGAAATCAACTTTTGCATAGCTGATACAAACTATTAGCTCTACAAAACCAACTTGTTAATCAGTAACATCGTACACACAGTAACAGCTGCTTGTGGTATTAATAAGTAACTGATTATTTTAAATGTTAAATGTAGACAAACCTGCAATTTGGAGAACACGATCTCTGCCTTGACATGTCATTCACCTTATAAAAACAAACACACGTTACCAAAGTGAAAATGTAAATAACTTCCTCGACAGTCAAGCTACAAAAACACAAATACAGGAAATTAAGGATGTGACATTTATTAAAAGATACAGGCTCATGAGGGAACATAAAGTTGGTAGGGATTCATGTATCTACGGACAAATAACTAGTAAGCAAGACTATAAAAAAACAAAACACTGGTGAGCGAGGGTCGTGCAAAATCTTAACTGTTTTTTTTTTTTAAGATAAACCGACTAGCGCTACAATTACGATGACCAGGAACAGTCCCAGTTTTGAGTCCTGTGTCCCCTGTCCCAGCAGATTTATGCAAAACCACTGATTAGTCCCAGATTTATACAAGAAGAAATGTCCCAGGTGTCCCTATTTTTGACCAATTTGATATTTGCAAAGAGTAAAGAGAGGCATAAATTGTCACTTGTTTTGGTAAAATACAGAAAAGCTGCTTAAACATCATCAAAACACAAAGAAAATGTGACTATACTGACTCACATGTTAGTCCTGAATAAATGGGCCGACTGCAGAACAATTTTCCTTAATTACGCACTTGTTTCACAATTTCATTATTACCAACCAGTCCAAACCAGTTTTTGATTTTGATAATGCCGACAAAACTAACTTTACATCTGGATAAATGTTTTGGAAGTCCGTTCAAAGTATGTGCATTATTTACTATTTACACTAATGTATCTAGTTCTGGTTTAGTCCTGGTCTAGTACCTGGTCTAGTCCTGATTTAGTCCCGGTCTGGTACCTGGTTTAGTCCCAGTCTAATACTCGGTCTAGTACCTTATAGTACCCGGTTTCGTACCTGGTTTAGTCCCGGTCTAGTACCAGGACTGGACTAAACCAGGTTCTTTTTTTGTGATGACATTTTTATTCATGCATTATTATTTGTTATTATTATTTGCAGTTATACATATTCCAGTTAGTGTTGCATTTTTCTCCCTTTTAAACCCCCCCCCCCATATATATATTATATATATATACATGTATATACACATTCACACACGTCCAGTTTTATTTTCCCTCTATAAAAAACACAAGCAAATTTCCTCCATCAAAAGACATCAGCAGATTGCGTTATACGTACTTATTATGTACCGTAAAAAGTTAACAGAGAGTATACATATTGTGCACATTCTAAGAACATATATTATAATGAAAAATCTCCAGGTAACGACTATACAATAGATTCAGATCTCAATTTGATCAGTAGATTGGACCAGCAACAGATATTTTTGTTTTTTTCTCCCTGCATTCGAGCAGCAAAAAGCTCCAGTTGAACGACTTCTCCGAAAAATAGGAGTCATTCTCTCACAGTCAGAGGTTGAATTGATTTTTTTTTTTTTGGCAGCTGTAAGACCTGCTAGTAATATGCGACGATTGTTAATTGTCAGATTTAGTTTGGACATGTCGTTTAGCAAAAGAAACCTCTGAGTGCAAGGTATGGTTATTCCTATTAATTTAAACATTGTCTTTGTGACGTTTTCCCAAAACCAGATTCTAATACCCGGTCTATAACCTTATAGTATCTGGTTTAGTCACATTTTCTTTGTGTTTTGGTAATTTTTAAACAGCTTTTTTGTATTTTACCTAAATAAATGACAGTTTATACCTCTTTACTGTTGGGAGGGATCAGATTGGTCAAAAATAGGGACACCTGGCACATTTCTTACCTAAAACTGGATAAAATTGGTGGGCCAGGGAACTGTCTTGGGTAAATGGGACGTCTGATCATCCTAAACTCAAACCGGGCTGCTAACTTTAACATATGTGTAACTAATCCGATACTTCCAACTTCTAAATAAGACATTTATACCATGCAATACAAACTTCATAAAGGAAACACATTCAGACAAACCCGGTGCTCATAAAAAAAATCATCTGAGTACGTGCGTGTTTGATTTTTTCAACATTACGACATTGTTGATTAGCTTAGCCACATGCTAACAAACGCAGCGCCTTACCTCCTCCCTGGAAAACGGCGCGGGATTCCTTCCCTAAAATAAAGCTAACTAATCAGAATTACAACGATCTAAAATAATAAATAAATAAAACTTGAAATCATGAATCAAATCGCCAAGCAAAAAATCTTAAGATGTTTTAGCATTTCCATAAAAATGCTCGAAACGTGGAAGGTGTCCTCGTTGTGTACTTCCGCTGCTTTGGTTTTCAAAGTAAAAGACAACGCACTGGAAACCAAAAGAGACAAACCTAATTTTGATAATGTCACTTGGTAAACTTAGTATTTATGCTTTGAAATGACACATGATGTAAACAGACTATTATTTAGGAGGAACTGTTAATATATTTTACTTAGATTGTTCTCAGTGGGTACAGATGTCAGTGTAGTGAGTCTTATTTTGAAATTGTCAAAATCCAAATCCAGATACTTAAGAATTTTGGAAATAAAAACGCTAAAACTAAAGTTAAAACACAAATACGTAAATACATAGACTGGATTAGAAAAGTTTAGGGTTAAATAAGCCATTAAATTAAATAATATAGTGTTTATCAATCCTTGTTCATGCGTTTTGAATCATACACATTTTTGCTGCCTGTAAAAACAAACGCGATAAACAATGATCTAATATGTGGCTCTGTTCTAATCTTTCCCAAACTTCCATTGAGATTTTTTATTTTATTTTTTGCATTTTATGATAATCAAAACCTTATTAACAAATGCATTTTTTTTCCTTTTCATATTTTGTGCTGATTAGAAGAAATGAAATAAATGCAGTACATAAAATACAGTAGTTTCAAATAAAATACAGAAGAAAAAAATTAAAACTCAATTTCCACTGGGTACAGATGTCAGTGTAGTGTAGTCTTATTTTGAAAAATAATATAGTGTTTGTCATGTACAAAAAATGTACATGATACAACACACATGAAGAAATGTGTTTTGTATCATCTACATTTTTTGTTGCCTGTAAAAACAAACTTGTGTAATATGTGGGCTCTGTTCTATTACCTTTCCCCTGTGATTTTTTTTTTTATTTTTAATTTTGTCCATTTCATATCTTGTGTTGATTAGAAGAAATGAAATAAATATAGTACATAAAAAACAGTAGTGTAAAAAAAAAAAAAAATAGAAATAGACAAAAGAAAAATACAATTTCCAGTGAGATGATAATTATTTAGTATAAAAAATAAAAACAAACTGGGCTGTCACACGGATTCCGTAACAGAAAACGGACACCAGTGACACAGATGACTTGATGAAGTTTATTGGTTGATATCAGCAGTTTCCATGCACCACATCTACAATGATATATTCCACCAAGCTGCAGCGTCACAGAATAATTATATTAGGATAAACATTACATCCTTTACATTGTATTACTGGCTACTCGGGACTCTTTATAAATGACGATAGATGACACATGAGTTGTAGCTGCAGCATTTTAAACTACTATTGCTCTTCAAACTCGGTTCAGATGTCGGCTGCTTGTCCGTGCTTTTCATCATAACAAAATGGTTTTCAGTTGATGGCATTGGTTTACATAAAGTTCAAGTAATTAGTCAATATTCACCGTCTTCCCCGTTTCATTTGAAAGAAAAACGTACACAGATTATTTGTGTAATAAATAATAAAATGTTTAAAAAAAAAAGATTTACATTTAAAATAGCCTAATTTTGGCTATCACCATCTGTGAGTTGATGAATTGTCAACACAAATTTGACAAAACTATCCCCTCGATTAAACGCCGATCTCTCCTGTTGCATATTACATAATAAAACAGCATTATTTTTGCACAAAGTATAAATAAATAAATAAATAAATAAAAGGTGTCATAAGTAACTTTCTAGTGGAGGGTCCGCTGCCGTTTGTCTTCGTGGAGATGTTACTGCTTTGTCTAAAATATCCCACAGTATGGCATTAAACTTGTCTATTTCATCGGAGACAAGCAGTGGTGTAGTGGGGATTTTTAAAGATTTTTTTCATTGATGTGATGAACTGAACCAGGACTAAAACAGATCTAAACCAGGTCTAAACCATGACTAAAGCAGGACTAAACCAGGTCTAAACCAGGTCTAAACCAGGACTAAACCAAGACTAAACCAGAACTGAACTAAGACTGAACCAGGACTAAACCAGTTCTAAACCAGGACTACACCAGGACTAAACCAGGTCTAAACCAGGACTAAACAGGGACTAAACCAGGTCCGAACCAGGGCTAAACCCAATCACTCAACGGTTTACACAGGCACACCTCCGGGCCCATCTCGACTCTCAGTCATGGTTCAGTTTTGGTTTAGACCTGGTTTAGTCCTGGTTTAGTCCTAATTTAGTCCCGGTTCAGTCCTAGTTTAGTCCTCCTGGTTCAGTCCTGGTTCAGGTCACTATAGGACAGTACTGCAGATATCATGAGTCTATGCAGTTTGTTTTTACCGTTGCCAGTAGCTCCGGTTTGGCATTTTAGTTGTAGCTGTTTTACATTTGTTATTTTTTTATATCTCACGTCAGGGGACGGCGAACCCCCGCGTACCACGCCCACTACACCCCTGGAGACAAGTCTGCAATGCCTCCGGGCCAAGTTACAGGTCAGATCTGTGGAGAAGTGAGCTCATTTACTACAGGGACGCTTGTATTTTTGAGCAGGAAAACAGACTGTAATTGAATAAACAACATAGACAAGTTTAACGCCATACTGTGGAACCTTTCAAGCTTTGCAAAAACATCTCCGTGGAAACAATCTTGTGGCAGGCCTCCTATCAGAAAAGTTACACAGTGCAACTTTAAATAAACGAGAGCATGTTTTATTGAAATTGTAACTATAGTGGACATTGTACTAGTGTTCAAATGCTGTACCTACACAGTGGATTTCTTGGTGTTTCGGAGGTCTTCGTTAAGGCCGTAGGTGACACTGGACTGCCTCGTGGTCATGGAAATATAATCAATTCCTCTTATTCTCATTATAGATCCATGTGTGTGGTGAGGTAAAGTCGATGTTGTTAAGCGAACGTGGCTAATATACATGGAGCAGTGAAACAACAAGATTACTACTGTTACCGCTATGGACCGCAGCATAAGTGGAGTCTGCAGTGCAAAAAAATACATATACATGATTTTAAATTACTTAAATTCACAATATCTGCCTTATTTTTAGTAGTTCGGGGTTTAAAATGTTCTATTAGAGTTTGTTAGTACATAATATAGGGTTCCCACTATTTTTCACTGACAAAATTACAAAACTTTTCCATGTATTTTTCATGACCAAAGTGAATTTTCCATGACTTTACGGCACCTACATGTGTAGAATCATACTATTAGAGCTAAATATAAAAATGTTAACTCTTTCCAGTCGCCTTATGGTTTGGGATTATAGTTTTTTAACATTCAAAATATCGTCAGTGCATTTATTGTCATCTCTTTTAAACAAAAGGCGCAGACGTTCAGAAATAATCATAATAGTCCAATGATAACTTAAAAGAACAGTGTAGTTGCTTGAAAGAGATACTAAAATTTCATTACTTTTACAAAACGTTCATTTTTCTAGGCCTGGAAAAAGACATTTTCAATTTCCATGACTTTTCCAGGATTTCCATGAGCGTGGGAACCCTGATAACAGCACTGTTTAATTGTTTTGTCATTTTGATTTGAGTCCAGGTTTTCTAATTGCAACTATGGAAAGCAAATTGGAAAGTTTTTTGTTGTAAAGCGTTATCCAAACTAAAGGAGGACTGTGTAACTTTTCTGATGCGGTGTCTGCCACCTGCTTGTCTCCATGGAGATGTTATTGCTTTTTAATGTTCCCCAATATGGCATTAAACTTATCTAACACAGCATTTTCTCCACAAACCTGCAACTTGGCCTTGATTCAATAAGGACAGATGAGTTTAAAGCCATATTGGGGAACATTTCAGGCAAAGCAATAACATCTACATGGAGAGAACCCCCACCAGGAAAGTTACGCAGTGTACCTTTAAGTTTATAGATACACTAATCTTTGTTTTTTTGTTTTTCAAGCAAAAATCTGTCAATAATTTTATTTTAATTTTTTTGGACATTAACAAATATTCTTACTCAATTGAAGGAATTATCTTGAAACACGCAAAATACGACCAATAAAGTTTTAAAGTAATTACTAAACAGATCTAAATTTGCACAAACAATTCAAAACAAGATAAATATTATGAATTCAAGCCATGTTATATCATGTATTTCTTATTTTTTGCTCTCCGTCAGTGCAGATTCACAAACACACAACAACTCACTTCTCTAGTTAAAACCTTTACATAGATTTTCCTCATGTTTTGCCCGTTTTCATTAGAATCATAATAAGCTCTAAATTATATTCTGAGTCATGGGCAAGAGTCAAGTCTATACACCGTGAACAAAAAGGAAAATCCCACTGACAAATACAGCTACAGTCCATACTGAAGATACTATGTCCTCTGAATCCCCCATTAGCAGCTATTTACATGTTTTACAAAGCAGAGTTAAGCCATAGAAGAGTGAATTTGGGGTCTGAGACAATGCAGTCGTGATGTTTCAACACTAATTCGTAGTACTTTCTTTTTATATTACCACGTAGTCAAGTTTTAGTAGTGTTTTTCGATACTTTTGACAACCCTACAATGCAGAAAACTCAGGAATCTCTACAGGATTCATTGATAAAGCATTAATCAGCAAAAATGATCACAAACTTTAAATTGTCACAGTTGGCAAAGACACAAAATATCCCGTTTTCGTGGAGTTTGTCTGCTAACTAGGGATGTAACCATATCCAAATCTCACGGTACGATATTTATTGCGATATTCTGGAGTGACAAATATTTTTTAATTGTAGATATGACACTTTTTTGCTTTTAAAATACCTTAACAAGATTTTGGTGCAAATGATTCCCAAGAATTCAAGCAAAAAACGTATTTCTTCCCGTTGTCTGCGCTGAAATGAATCATGGGATATGTAGTTCCCGATGTTTATAAGCTGTTCCCACTAAAGAAACATGCATTTAAGCAAAGGAACTTATAATAATTCGATATATTGTGACAGCTATTCGATATTATTGTGAGACTCCTGATGATACGATATCACAATATTTCGGTTATTGTTGCATCCCTATTGCTAACCTTGTAGTTTATTCCTCCAAAAATACAGTATGTTCTGAAATGCATGGGATTCTTGTATTCATTCAGCAGTTCATGTGTTTATTCAATTTTTTTTTTTTTTTTTACAAATGTTAAGGGGAATGTTTAAAACTGAAACTAACTTAATGTTAAATAGAAACCGTCAATTAAATTTTATGTCATTCACAACTCGTATTTGTAATTTGGTGAAGCCTAACATGCAGTTTGTTCATTTGTTGTTATTACTATTCCTTACAGTTCTTACATTTTAATTAAGGTTTAGCCAAGTTACAGCTTTCAGCCTGTAGAGATTGTCTGCATCGCCTCAAACCCCATTGAAACTCAGTACTGTAAATGTTAGTCGAGTGGTTTGATCATGAAGGACAGAATCAGCCGCTGTTTTGGTGCAAACGTTGATTGAAGTGAAGTTGATTGAAACCTGGAAAATAAGAAAGAAAACGTCACTGGAAATTCATTAAAAAAGAGGCCTGGTCTTAGCCTGATTCACCTCGCAGCATTAGGATTCGTTCGCTCGACGGTACTTTTTTTATTTAACCAATCGCTGTTATTTGGTTGTGACGTATGTAATGCGCCAAATCCCGTAGGAAGAAGGGCAATAACGTCTTTCCCCTTGATAAAATTCACCAAACATTCTTTTTGTTCCGGCTTTAAACCCTCGATCTCTGGAATCGTTGCCAACACAGAATGTCTGGCATCGTCTACATCCATCTCGACCACTTTGTTTACTGTTGTGCTGTTCCACAAAAGGGACACAGACAGGCGCTTGAGTTTGACATCATGGCTTCACAGATCTTCGCTGATTGGCCAGTGCGTGGTCTACAGCTTACGTGGTTCTTGCAAACTATCTAGTGTATTCTGATTCCTGACCTAGTCGCTGGAGAGAAATGAAATTGGGTTGAGGCACTAGGTGTCGCCGGCTAGTCTGGTCTAGGGTTGCAAATAACAATTATTTTGCTCATAAACTACAATTTAGTTTGAATGTTGAAAGGCCTGTGAATATGATACTTATTTACTAAAGCTGCATGTTTACTGTGACATTCTGATACAATTCTCACTTTGTCTGAGAAATAAAATATATTATCTAACTCTTTACTAAAATGACCTCCCACAAAATAGCTCTGTTAAGTTTCTACATCAGGGGTCTCCAACCTGTAGCCCAGGAGCTACCAGTACTTCTCCACCCCCTTTCAAGTAGCTCATCAAGAGATTTCTGAATTCTATGTATTGGACTGAATAACTCAAATTGGATTGATTACTGTAAATGTGTTACTTTGTGCTCTAATAAACAGATAATGGTTTTAGGTTTTATAGGCATCTAACTGTACAACTCTAAGGCTTGCCCTCTTACATCGACTCAACTTCTTGCGACTGCTAAAAGGAGTGGTTCTCCGGCATTTTCATTTTGTAAAAGTAGCTAAATCCCAATCTTTTAGGCTGAAAAATGGCACTACTTACTGAGGTATTTGTGAAAAAATAAATGTGCTGCTGACGGAGAAGATGTTGATCTTTGTGTTTTTGTTTCACATGGATTGACCCAGTAATTACAGAGATATGAACCCATAAACCGGGTCAACAAATCTGCAACCTGACCGCAAATTCCACCATAGATTTCTGACCTGTCCTCCAGCTCAGTTTTAAATATTAATACTTTGCGGCTAGACATTTCCTGGGGGTGTGATGCTAACTAGGCACTTCTCTGTCTCAGGCTTTGTTAGATTTTAGTCTGAGCTTTATTTTAACACAATTTGTCCCTAAAACAGTTTTGTAGACAGAACCATGAACACTTGTAACGATCACAGCCTCCTGAAAATGTGTTGTTTAAATCCATTTTGTATTTTTCTTCAGATTTCAGACCATCTTACAACTCATTTGTCGGTGTCTGCTAATGTGTGTATTGTGTCGCCATGGTAACTGCTGTACATCCCACCAACAGAGACACACGAACACCCAGGTCTGTGTCATATTTTACCCTCTTTATTGGACGTCCAGTTTGGGTCCCACGGGCGGGATCATGGGGGGAGCGTCAGCGCTGCAGGCCTGGAGCAGCAAGTTCTTGTTGAGGTCCCCGACGCTGCTTGCGGGCTGGAGTTTGGAGAAGTCGGACCAGCCCATGGCGTCTGCGTCCGTGACCGGGGAGTAGTCTTGTGCGCTGGGCTGCTCCTCGCGCGACACAGGGCTGATGGAGACAGACGGAGAGCTTAAAGACACAACAGTGAAGGATTGGGTTAAAGCAGAAAGAAAATACAAGAGGTTTAATATGAAGTTATATGTTATTTATATTATATGAGCAACTATACTGAAAATAATTTAAAGACACAGCAGTGAGGGACGAGTTAAAGCAGAGAGAAAATATAGTAGGCTTAATATGAAGTTATATGAGCGATTATACTGAAAATATGTGTATCCCTCACTGGCTGTGGTTACATGTCCACTCAAAATCTGAGTATTAAAAGATTTTTAGAGTTGTAAGACTATTAAAATGACTTGTAAACAGCAAAATGATCAAACTTCTTTCTGATCATAGTCCCAAGTACATGTTGTATTTCTCATGGCTAAAGCAGAGAGAAATACAACACATTAGGGCTGCTTGATAATGGAAAAAATAATTATCATGATTATTTTGTTCTCTCTCAAAAACAAACACTTTGTTATCGATAATTTACGCAAAACTTTCAAATTGAAAATAAACTCAGGCTACAAATATGAACCTTAGAGCAGTTTTGCGATGTATAAAACATAAAATGAATAAAATATACTTTGAACATGAAATAAGATATAGAAAAACATAAATGTATCCAAAATAAACTATATATCCAGCTTTTCTACAATCTCTATATTTAAAAAAAGGAAATAGATATACTTATTTATATTTTTAAAAATCCCAAAATAAACTTTGTTCAGTTTAATCGTTTCAACTCGATTATAAGAGTTTGGAGATCGTTTGACGCACAAATCGACATCGCAATCAAAATTCAATTAATTGCACAGCCTTACAACACATTTAATATGAAGTTATACTGTATGTTATGTAAGTTATATGAGCGATTATACTGAAAATAAGAAATGCTCACCCAAATGTAATATAATTTGTCACCTTTTTTCTATTTTATGATTCATTTTATGTCAATAGAGAGCAAATAACTAGATGAACTATTTAAAATAAGTTAAATAAAGATTAAAAGTACAGTGTGTAACTTTCTGGTGGTGGCGTGTATCATATTACAGCGAATATTAAAGGAAGAGGACCTCCTCCAGATCAAATAAGAGTCAGGTTTGTGGAGCTGCAAAGGACGCATGTTTTCAGTACAATAAATAAAACAAAAATAGGGAAAAAGCTTTTATTTTAGTGTATTTATGGTTAAAAAGTTACATACTGTAGCCTCAATATTTAAAGAGACAAATTTTCGGTAAATGGAGTCAGTGCAAGTGAAAAAATGGTAATAAAATGAATCTGCACAGGATAATTTATCTTTCATAAGTACTTTTTAATTGCACTTTAAATGATCATTACTGGCAAAGGTCAATAGCTGTATTTATTTACCAAAAGAAGATATGCAGCGAACTAAATGTCCCTGTATTTCCCCGGAGCTGTAATTAAAACAACACATCTCTGTAGTTTAATCACGTTCTAAAATGTCTGTGACTCTTTTTTACCTGTTTATATTTCTTTCTTTTTTTTGTCGTAAATGCTTCGGAAGGTGTTTAAAATGTGCACCATGTATTTAGAAGAATAAATAGGAACTTCAAAATCTGAAAAAAAAAGGTGATTTTTTTCATAAATGTTCAATATTTTTTGCATTATTCTGACTTTTTCAATCACCTTTGGGTAATTTTGCATTCTATATTGTGTAATAGCTTTGTTCAGTCAAAAGTAATTCTAGTAAATAATAAACTAAAATAATGACTTGGGGTAAAAGTGCTTAGTCTTTATTTAGTCTTTATTACCTGACGTCCATAGACTGCACTCCGTCTGAGAGCTCATCCACACAGCTCTTTTCTAAAGGCCCCAGAGAAATCTGAGAGGGCTCCAGTGGCACATCCTGTCCTGAAGGGGGCGCTGCCTCCACCTTCACCTCAGACTCTGAAATGTAAAAAGAATGGCAGTGAGAGAATGGCTCCTGTAGAAACACTGCAATGAAATTAGTGTTAAAAATGTTTGGTAAGTCGAAATGTTCTTACAGAACAGAATATGCATCTGTTGCGAGCAATAAACCAGTAAAATAAAACATCTAAACCAGGTCTTAAAGGTGCTGTAGCCTGAGCTCCTGCAGTTTTAAAAAGTTTATTACAATTACAACTAAACCTGTGTTGCCAGAGTCTTAACCTGCAGACAGAGGACATATACAAGTTTTTCTCATTCTCAGTAAATGGACAGGCCTCATGTGAAAGCTCAGAACCTCCAGAATTTACTCCCTGAGTTGCAGAGGCTGCACTAGCACTGATTCATGATTGGCTGCAAGTTTAGAAAGCAAGGATTCAGATCAGTGAGAGAGTCCTTTTAGGTTTAATCCAACCGGATTTAAGCTCTGAAACTGGCAAAAGAGAGACTCAGTACATGTGAGGCTCATTCTGCTGATCAACTTGAGAACAAAAACACCAAATAATAACATAAACAACTTGTCCAATCACATACAACATTTGCTGTATTTGATTTGAACACATCTACCTTGAATATAGGGACACAGTTACGTCCAGGGTGACCAGATTTTCAAAATAAAAACTGGGACACCCACGATTTGTGATGGTTGACAATAATAAAACTGTGAAACAAGTGCGTTATTAAGGAAAAATGTTCTGCAATCGGCACATTCATGACTAACATGAGTCAGTATAGCCACATTTTCTTTGTTTTTTGGTCATTTTTAAGCAGCTTTTCTGTAGTTCACCTCAACAAATGACAATTTATGCCTCTTTTTACTGCTGGCAGGGATCAAATTGGTCAAAAATAGGTACATGTGGGACATTTCTTGTATAAAACTGTGACAAATCAATGGTTTTGGTTAAATCTGCTGGGACAGGGGACACAGGGCTCAAAACTGGGGCTATCCTGGGTAAATAGGGACGTCTGGTCACCGTAGTTAGGTTGTGTTTAGAAAATTTAAAACCAAAATCCTACATACAGTTCCTTTAATAAGAAAATAATGATGCATAATGTCGATGAATGATGTTTGTGTGTGAGAAGGGAGAACTGCTTTGAGAATACTGTAAATGAATTGTTGCCCTGTGGGATCAATGAAGTTTTCTGAATCTGACTCTGAATCTAAATAAACCAGGTTAAGGACTAAAATCATGACTCCTTCAGATCTCCAAGGACTATGTAAATTAGAGTTGAATTGTTCTCTGTGCACAGTTACACCTGATCAGTATGATAATGACCCAATCCAGTGTGAGTAGATGTTACAGCCACTGCAGTTTGTTTTATGTTTTACCTCAGATGAACCTTGGAGGAGACACAACTCAAAATACACCAGGAAATGAAAAGTGCTGACTCTGCGCCTCAGTGAAGCAGGAAATCAAATATGCCTGAACTCTTATTGGGCTAAAAGGTTTATCAAACATCAGATAAACCACTAGGGGGCACTTTTTCCCTCTGCTGAGTCACTCTGCAGCAGATCACATTAACATCAATCAATACAAGTTTGGTCCAGTCTAGAGATATAGATCATGGCCTAGTTCAGGATATATATATTTAAAAACATTAATATATTTTCTATGTTATAATGCTGTTTCTTCAACAAAAACAGTCTGTTCCACCTTGTGATGTCATGTGGTAATACAGGAAGTGCTCAAGTGTGTTTTAAAATCCATACACCTTCACTAGAATCATCTGGATCATTTCAGCCCTGGAACTGCCAGTCTACCCTTATGTAACAGATAATACTCCCTACAACGGTACAACAACTCACGCTTGTGTAACAGATAATACTCCCTACAACTGTCTTATGTAACAGATAATACTCCTTACAACTGCACAACAACTCACGCTTATGTTACAGATAATACTCCTTACAACTGCACAACAACTCACGCTTATGTTACAGATAATACTCCTTACAACTGTACAACAACTCACGCTTATGTAACAGATAATACTCCCTACATCTATACAACAACTCATCTGTAGATAACGGATAATATTCCCTACAACTATACAACTGCTCACACTTATGTAACAGATAATACTCCCTACAACTATACAAAAACAGACCCTTACGTAATGGATAATACTCCCTACAACTGTACACCAACTCACCCTTATGGAACAGATAATACTCCCTACAACTGTACAACAACTCACCCTTATGTAACAGATAACCCTATGTCCTGTCAATCATCATATCATTTATATTTTATTACTTATTTTTCTATTTTATTTTGATTTAATTATGTTTTATTTGACTTATTTAGAATTTATTATTACCATTTATATATTTTTTTCTCTTTTCTTTCTCTTTTCTCCAAATAATTTCCCTTGTGGATTAATAAAGTTTATTGAAGTCTAAATCTATGGGAGGACAAATGGCATTTTTGACATTTTTGCTACTTTCATGTCCACTGTTGGTGCATTTAAAGCTGCACTATGGAACATTTCTGAAGCAGGATTTGCCATCTGCTTGGAGATGTTGTTGCTTTGCCTGGAATATTACACAGAGGCATTAAATTGTCCATCTAACTTGCATTTATTGAATTACAGATGTTTTTATTGCTTAAAAATATACTTGGAAAACATGTGCCTCTCCACAGATCTGACCTGTAACTAACACAATACTGTAGAACATTCCAAGCACAGCGACAACACCTCCATGGAGACAAGCAGGCGGCGGATCCTTCATTAGAAAACTTACGTAATGCACCTTTAATATTACATTTGATCTCATATAATAAACATAACTCTATAAATAACTTATCATCACCTTGGACAACAGATGGAGCTTCCACTTCACTCTTTCTGGTGCGCTTCATTATTTCTTCAATTCTCTGCAAATGGAAAATGACATTAGAGACAGAGAAAGTTTTAAAAAAAATTATAGAAAAATAACAAAAACAAGTTGATTTAATTTATATGAGTGTCTTTCTGCTCTGGATGCTCATTTTTGTCTTACACCTGACTAATGTGAGATACAGACTGGAGAACTTGTTTCTTTTAGATGTTTTGATGTGCTTGATTATTTCCAGCGGTGAGTACAGATGTGTCTTTGCTCCGTGACCAACAAACAGAGCAGTACATTGTGAGTAACGACACAAGAGACACAGGAGAGGCAGAGAAAGCATCTGTGTCCAACTCGGCAAAACACCTCCTCCTCTTCCACTTCACACTTTGCAGGAAACTCTCTCATCTGTCGCTATAAACTCACTATAACCTCCTCAAACCAGCTCCGTTCCTCTGCTCTCTGTCTCTCATCTTATCAGTAATCTGCAGATAAAACACTCATTCATAATACCGAAAGAGTTGTGTTAAAGCCTTTTTCTTTTTAGCTATTTCTAAATCACTCACGCACAAGTCACATTCATATCAGGCAATCTGGGTGAAGTGGGGGCAGATAACATGAGATTACTCTTCTTTCTGCTCCTTTTCATTCATTTCTTGTCTGTTTAATACGGATGTAACAAGAACCAAAATATCGTGATATCGTATCGTCAAAAGTCTCACAATAATATCATGGGCTGTCATAATATATCGAATTACAAGTTTCTTTGTTTAAATGCATGGTTTTGTGGTAGCAACAGCTTATAAACATAGGGAACTACATATCCCATGATTCATTTCTGTGCAGACAACATGAAGAGATATGTTTTTTACTCAAATTCTTGGGATTATGATGGATATAATTCACAGCAAAATCTTGTCAAGGTATTTTAAAAGCAAAAAAGTGTCCCATCTACAATTATATTCTTCTCTCCAAAATATCACAATAAATATCGTACAGTGAGATGTATATCGTGATAATATCGTACCAAGAGATTTGGATATTGTTACCTAATCCCTAATGTTTAATATTAGGACACTGTTAATGTCTTTTTATTAGGGCTTTGTACCATTTAGAAGTTGCCAGTGACGATACATACCTTGATACAAAGGCCATGATACGATACTTATCTCTATTCAGTGCACTTTCAGTTCGGTATGATATATTTCAAATCGATTCGATACAGTTCAATAAAAAATAAAGGCTAAATCATGGCTGTGATACTAAAAGTCTTTGTTAAACCACTTCTTATGCAAAGTTAATAAGAAACACAAACATTTTAATCATCAAAAATGTCAAATGTGTCACATAAACTAGTTTCTTTCCTCTAAACAAACAACAAAACTCTAGCACTGTAACAAAATAATTTAGTAAACTATATCAAAAAATACTCTTGGTGATATATTGATACAGCAGCCCATGATATCGATACTGTATCATCACATTAAACGATATGATGTATTGATATTTCAATATTTTTGTACACCCCTACCTAAGCGTTTTTATACTTTATGAATGAAATAAACACAAATAAATGAAGTGTTTGCCCAAGGACACAGCAAAATTTTCCACTGTGCCGCCTGTTAATCTATACAATCCAAGAATGATCCAGGTCGGTCTTGCTTAGCGTCCTACATCAGACGAGACTGGGCGTTGACAAAATGACAGAGTGTTGTGTCATTATCATGTGTGGAGTGAATAGATAATGACTCCAGTGTGTCTTTGAGAGGCTTGATAATGTCGTCACGTGTAAATCAGATGTAAGGCCTCGTTTGTCATTTTAAATGTGTCCACTGACTTAGACTGACCTTCTTCCTCTGCTGTCTCTCCTGCTCCTCCTGGATGTGCAGCTGTTCTCGCTCCTGTCTCTTTCGCTCGGCCTCTTTCTGAGCGCGAAGGAACGCCTCCTCTCTCTGAAAACAACATTCGCAAACAAGATTAATGTGGTCAGTTGAGACTTTACGGAGCTTTTGGACACAGTGGCTCACAAAATGGCAATAAAGAACAGGTAAAGCAGCATTAAAGCGAAAAAATGAATAGCAAAATGGTCAGATAAATGGTGAAGGGTCACATTTATATAGCACTTCTCTACCTTTAAAGAGAAGGTATTTTACTTCTATGGGGCATTAACTGGTAACACATGACACATTTAGATCATCATGTTTCTTTTATTGTGTTGAAAATGCTACAGTATATTCACCAAAAACAACGTATTAACAACATTTAAGGCTGAGTTCCACCCCGTCCAGAAAGACATTGGAGCTACAGCGGTCCAATGTCTTTCTGGACAGGGTGGAACTCAGCCTCGTCAAAGAGTTTAAATACCTGGGACTGACGTTGGACCCGACATTGACATGTAAGAAACACATTAAGTGCCTTACAAAAACTTAGTGAATTTTAGACAAATAAGATCTTTAATGACTCTATATGCGGCACAAATGTTTTTACACTCCATGATTGTGTCTCATATAGATTGTTGCATAACCACATGGTCACTCGGTGCTGACACAACACTCAAACCCATCAAATCAGTTTTTTAAAAAGCCATAAAAATATTGGACAAGAAACCACTCTCATTTCACCACTGTACTATTTTACATAAGTACAATCTGCTTAATTTTAATAATTTTGTTGATTTTAAATATGGATGTTTTATCTATAAAGATTTGTATGGACTTGCCCTGCCTCCGTTACAGGATTTTATTAAAGTAAAGACCGTCAGTGGGATGGGAACTAGGGTCACAGTCCGAGCGAACTGTGAGCTTCCACACAGACGCACCACATTCGGACAAAGTGTGTCTCAGTCAGAGGCACAAAACTTTGGAACAGTCTGCCACTATCAATAAGAGAAACTCCAACACTGGCCACTTTCAAATCCTACTTGAAACAGTGGCTAAAGGAAAACCAAACTTGTGGACACTTTTAGTGTATAACTGTCACTTGTTTTTGTTTTTTCTCTTAAATTTGTGGTGTTACCTGCCTACAGATGGAAATGAGCACTATCACAACACAACTACTGCACATCGCATCAAGTTTGTGAAGTTGTAGTGTATAATTTTATATCATGCTTTTGTATATTTATGGAGCATTGTTGTGTGGGAGCATGGGTGATGTAGGATTGCAAAGAATTGTATTGCTACATGTAAAGAGGGTTTGAATAGGGCCCAGGAGAGATCCCTAGATTACTCAAGCATGCATACATGGCATATAAACCCTCTTCAGGCATGTTTTTGATAAGGGAACAGCGTAATAACTAAAAATTACTCTAAATTTACTCTTTGGGGTATTGTCAAGAGGAAGAAGAGAGACACCAGAGTCAACAATGCAACCTGGGCTTCCATTACACCCGAGCAGTGCAAGTAATGAGTGCACAGAAATGTACTGATATTGTGTTTAAATCTATCATTTTGCATTTTTGTTGATTATATAATATTCAAATTTTCTGAGACATTAAATTCTGGGTGTTCATTAGCAATAATCATAAATATTCACAAAATAAACTGTTGAAATATTTTGCTCTATGTGTCAAGAGTCTATATAATATATGGGTTTGCCTTTCTGATATGAGAGACAAAACATATTAAATTTTTTTTAGATGGACTAGTATATATGCATCTTTCCCATAGACTGCCCCCCTGCTGTGAGTGTGTACCTCTTTATCGAGCTGTTGCTGCATGTCCTTCCATCTCTGCTCCTTCTGTCTCCTCTCCAGGTCCTCTCTCTCTCTCCGCTCCTGTTCACGTCTAACTCGCTCCTCCTCGGCCTCACGCGCCTGTCGCTCCTGTTGCTCCTGTCGCTCCTGACGCCTCCTCTGCTCCTCCTCTGCACGCAGCCTGGACAAGGGACAAAAAAGTTACAAAAAACAACTTGATAATGCCCTGATGACGACTTAGTTGTGAGCTGAAATGTGTTGGTGTAGAGTAACAGACTGTATAAAGAAGTGGACTAAGGGAGTGTGACATCACCTATAGCACTCAGCTCCAGTCAAATTAAGATCACTGAGGCTTGAAGTTTTAGAGCAAATATGGAGCTAGAACCCTGCAGCCGACGCAAAACAGTGCGGTGCGGGACACATTTCGAAAGCTCATTGCGGGCGCAGGCAGGAGCGGGCAGGAGCGAGCAGGAGCGAGCAAATGGGCTAATAAACTGCAGGCCCACAAACTAAATATGAGCGTAAAGTAAAATATACAATTGATTAATGTATGCCTATCACACATAATTTGCATTAATAAAAACATTTTAAGCAGTCTAAATTTGCGGATGAGGTCTAATTTCGTGCACATTTTAGACAATTCCTTTCTGGTTCTCTGTGTTTGATAGAGTTTAAGAAAATGAACGTCCTCATCTTCTGGGATTTGTGGGAGAAAGCGGGACAAAATATCGCAGATGTGGCCGGAAGCGGGAATGAAAATTACAATTCTTTGAGGGCAGAATCGGGACTGCACAATGCGGGTGCGCAGACCTCTATTTGGAGCAGAGTTTCAGATTAGGAAAAGGAATTTATTTACAGACAAAATAGTGAAATAAAAAGACCAGGATCATGTAGAGCGGGTTAATACGAACATTTTAAAACCAAAATGACGAGGCTCACAGCACCAGTTAGAGAGACAAGTGACAATTTTCCAATGTAAAGTCAACTGTAGCCAGAGTTCAGGGAGCGAGAAGTGCCTTGGAACTAGTGGTTCAGCTATGTCTATTTATATATACAGTCTTTGTATGTAACTTATTATTGTTATCATGATACAAAATAATATCAAGATACTAGGAGACATTTTTTTCTTAATCCAGGCCCCCCTCGCCAGAAAAGTGACAAACGTCCACCTATAACTAACACCTTTCTGTAGACTAATGTAAACACTTTCAGATGAGATTGGCTTCCAAACGACCAAAGCATAAAAGAGTCCCAGCCTATTCTCTAGAACGCAAATGGCTCATAACGCCATCTAGTTATTCCGCCCTGAGGCAGTCTGACACAGCAGTGGCATCCATCATTTGCCTGTACCTCTCCTCCTCGAGCCGCTGCTTCTCCTCTTGTTCTTTCTGGATTCGGGCCAAACGTCGTCTTTCGGCCAAAACTCTGGAAGCCTCCTCTGCGTCTGTCGTCCCTCCCACGCTCCGGCCAGTGGGGGTCATCGGAGACTCTGACAGAGGGAAGTAACATATGCAGATAAATAATTGAGAGACGACGAAGATCAATAGCTTCAACATAAAATTTCTTTTGTTCACGTGATCACAGCTTTCAAGAATCCCAATATTTTCAAGATGAGCTATCTAATTTGCTGTTTAATTGTCAGATTACACATTTGTTGACCTGGTTTATGGTTCATAATATCTCTAATTATCTCTATCCACATGAAACAAAAAACTGGCACAAAGTTCAGCATATTTTCTGTTAGTATAAATAGACAAAAGAAAGTGGTGCCATTAATCAACCCCAAAGACGTCATCGTTGTCATTTGAAAGTCATAAGATCACTATGACAAATTTAAGCAGTCAATCCCAAACAAATAATGATAAGATTGAACATTTGTGGATCATAAGTTTGGATATTTCTATAAACTACTAAAGATGTAACATTCACCGAAATATTGTGATAGCAGATCGTCAAAGTTCTCACAATAATATCGTGGACCATCACAATATATCGAATTACAAGTCTCTTTGCTTAAATTAAGAGTTATGCTGCAGCAAAAAAAGACAGCGGGAACTACATAGACCATGATCCTTTGCTCCATTTCAGTGCAGACTACAAGAAGAAATAACTGTTCTAAGCAATTTTAAGTCTTAGTTCTTTGGATTAAGTCTTTTCAAGGCATTTTAAGAGAAAAAAGAAACAGCCTCCACAAAATATCGCAATAAATATCGTACCGTGAGGATCATAACGTTACAATATCGTATCGTGAGACTTGGATATCGTTACACACCTATAAACTACTGAATCTCCCATAGAGTTACTAGAATGTCATGAATGCAACGTGTTCAAATGTAAAAAAGCTGTATTTTGTGTAGATTCAAAAAACAAACCATGGTGTGACAAAGTTTTGGGTCAGTTTTGGTGAAATATTTTGATTTCCAGCAGCTTATGTCCGATGTTTAACCTGTGCAGTATGTTATGTGTTGTCTGTCGTACTGTACCTGCATTGAGCTCTCTGCTGGTGGATTTGGGGATCTTTTTCTCCCCCTCAGTTTTGGTTTTTCGCTCTAAAGTGCTGATGTGACCTTTGACCTCTGTGTCGGGGGTCCCGGGGGTGCTGGCCTTGTGTCGTCGAGGGGAGGGGGGGTACTGACCCGGGGAGCAGGGCGACTGAGGGCGGCTACGGTTTGAACGCACTCTGGAAGAACACAATGACAACGTGATAGAGTTTAGTTCAAGAAAATCTAAGGTAAGGTACACTTTATAGTTCCTATAGACTGTATAAAGAAGTGGACTAAGGGAGCACCCACAGTGTTCAGCTTCAGTCAAATGAAGCTCACTGAGGCTTGCAGTTATAGCAGCAAATTTGAAATCAAGGTCCATATAAGGAATTGAAATTTATTTACAGACAAAATAGTGAAATAAAACACCAAGATCATGTAGAGTGGGTTAATACGAGCATTTTAAGACCAAAATGACGAAGCTCACAGCAGCTGTTACAGAGAGAGGGGAGACCATTTTTTAATGTATAAAGTCAATCGGAGCCAGAGTCGGTGGAGTTGGAAGCACCCCCATGTTCACTTCCTATTGTTATGATGTCCCTGTAAGTGAGGGTGACCAGATTTTCAGAATACAGAAACTGGGACATCCCTGGTTTGGGTCTCTGGTCACATTTTCTTTGTGTTTTGGTGATTTTTAAGCAGCTTTTCTGTATTTTACCAGAACAAATGACAATGTATGCCTCTCTTTACTGTTGGTAGGGATCAGATTGGTCAAAAATAGGCACAGCTGGGATATTTCTTATATAAAACTGGGACAAATCACTGGTTTTGGATAAATCGGCTGGGACAGGGGACACGGGACTCAAAACTGGGATTGTCCCTTGTAAATAAGGACATTTGGTCACACTACCAAGGGAGATCTGGCCTCTCCATCTCCTGATCTTGAGCTAGTCTTGGTCAGGATTACCTTAGCTGGATTTAGCCTATTGTGCATGTTTTGCTTTAAAGGGGAAACCAGACACATGCAAACTCCGCACAGAAAGGCCCAGGAGTCAAACCCAGAACCTTCTTGCTGTGAGATGTGCATTCTAGTCACTCAACCACAGTGCTGACATTGTTTGGTGTGTTTCAACGACTGATTAATTTTGTGTAATCATCGAGTATCTAGTTTCAACACTATGTTTGTATGAACGTGTGACATGAGGTACCTACCGTTTGGGCGTGGCTGGGCCTTTGCTGTTTCCTCTGAAGGATGAACTGCGAGGCGGACCATCGCCCTAAAAACAAAAATAAGAATTGCGTTTTTAAAAATAACAATTTAGGACATAAATTACTCAAGAACAAAAAAACAGTATCCAGTGATCTGAGTTAGGATGAAAATAGTACAGATTTACACAGCTAATTATGAACACAGCTGGTCAAAGTCAAAAACACATCGCAATTAGGGCTGCACAATAGATAGCAATCAAATCGAAATCACAATTTGAAAAAAAAAAAGGTGACAATCCCTGTGCACTGTGTTCAAATGTTCTTCTTTTTCCCCTTGTTTTTTTATTTATTTATTTTTATTTTATTTAAACTTCTTAGTATCCTTAATGGAATAAGGGAAGGAGAAAAAAAAAAAAAAACTAAAAAAAAAAAAAAATCAATACTATCGAACAGAGATACATGAAGTGAAAAAGAAAGCAAATTGTTGTACTGACTGTTGTATTGTCTCTATTTAATTGTTAATAAAAATTTGAATTAAAAAAAATAATAATTTAAATCACAATTTGAGTTAGTGCTACTCTCAAATCACAAATCTGCAGTTGTTTAGATAAGAAAATGCTTTCTTATAGAACAAAATATTAGGTCTTTATATAGAAAATCATATTGTACCAGTAGTTTAGATCTCTACAAATATGTTCTGAAATGCATGGGATTCTTGTTTAACTTTTCCAAAATCGTGCAGCCCTTCTCCCAGTATTCCCATTTTCCCAAACTTGAAAATAATTATGAGTATGTGTTAATCCGGGAGTCATTAATACTGTCGGTCCCAGTGTTAGTTTGATGTGGTGAGATAAGTAACAGCTCTAAATGTGTGATTCATGCGTGAAACCTGAAACAGACCGTGGGAGTCCGAGCTTTCGTCTCCTCTGGAAACGCCGCGATGCTCCTTCGATTTGACAAACTCCGGTGAAGCCTGTGATTGTTTGAGGAAACTGAGAAGGACGAGAAGAAAGGAAGAAGGAGAAGAAGAAGCAGCAGCACAAGAAGAAGAAGGAGGTGAAGGAGAAGAAGGAGCAGATGAAGAAGAAGCAGAAGGAAGAAGCAGAAGGAAGAAGCAGAAGCAGATGAAGCAGAAGAAGAAGCGGAAGCAGAAGGAAGAAGTAGAAGAAGAGGAAGAAGATGCAGAAGTAGCAGATGAAGAAGAAGCAGAAAAAGAAGGAGAAGGAAAAAGAACAAGAAGCAGAAGAAGAAGCAGAAGGAAGAGAAAGCAAAAGGAAGAACAAGAAGAAGCAGAAGAAGGAGATGAAGCAGAAGAAAAGGAAGAAGAAGTAGAAGTAGCAAATGAAGAAGCAAAAGCAACAAAAGGGAGAAGCAGAAGGAGAAGAAGCAGAAGAAGAGGAAGAAGAAGCAGAAGAAGAGTTATAAAATAATTATTATACAGACAACAAAGACAAAAAAAAATCCAAGGGGTTTGAAGGCAAAGAACAAGAGCATCTGTGAATCTGAAAACAAACCTGGGCACTATCTTTATTACCCACAGGTTTCATGATTTAAAAAAATATATATACAGTATTTGCCCATTGCCATAGCGATTAACAATTTACAGGAAGATGAAACCCATAAATTAGTACTGATTTTGCTTTTGAGTTATATCTTCTGGGGCCAGAGTAAACAAGCCTTTTCATATTGCACTTTTCTTCAAGTCATATTATGATTACAATTTCATCATGATTCAAGTAAACTTACCCTACATTGACATTAAGGGGTGATTAAGTAATTTTCTTCTTCTGAAAACTCACACTTGACATTATTAAACCTGCTTCAGTGAATTAAAGAAAGTATAAATGAAAAGACTCTATCCAAATGTAGTGATTTCCAATTTAGGCAGAAGTGCACAAACACATGTTATCGTAGAAAACTTGTATTTAGAGTTATTTCTGTTTATCGTTTGTTTATTTATTTATTAACCTAAAACTGATTTCCTCACCTCTTTCTGGCGAGTGCAGAGCCGCTGAGGAGTTGGACAGCTGCTTGTTCATTGGCTGATCTGAAGGAGTCAGGAAGTCAACAACTACGAAAACAAAAAAGAAGGAAAAGAAAGATTAACATTTCAAAATAAACATGACGCTTTAGCTTTGGTTCAAAACGCAAATATCACAGGAGCCCGTTAACACCAAAACAAACACAAAACACAGACATAAACACGACTAACAGCTCCGATCAATAAAACACGCATGAATTAACCTTGTGATGTAAGACGCACATGCAGTACTGTTATCGGAGGGCGTAACTGCTATCCATGGGTTCCAGAATGATGAAAAATTGATTATTGCCATAGAAATAAACTAATCCAAAATCAAAATATTGTGAATGGTGAAAAATCCTCAAAACACAAAGCTGAAACCCATGAATAGTGATAATTTGCAGTTACATTACAGAGGCACCACCTCCTTATTTGCTTCTAAACATTACTGCTTTGCCTGGAATGTTTCACAGTATGGCATTAAACTGTCAGCATAAATACTATATGGTAACCACCAGTCCAAATTACAAATCAGAACTGTGAAGAACGCACATCTTTCAACACCTGTAATTGAACTGAATAAATGTGAAATAGAAATGTTTAATGCCATATGGAACACTTAAAAAAAGCATTTACGTCACCATGGAGACAAGCAGGTGGTAGGCTCTAAACATGAAAAGTTACAGAGTGCATCTTTAAGTAGTCAAAATGTAAAACTACTACATTTAGACTTGGACTTAGACAAACTTTATTGATCCAAAAGAGAAATTATTTGGACACAGTAGCTCACACAAGAGAAAAAAATACAAATAATTCTAAATAAGCAGAAAAAATAATTATGTAAACGTGAATGTACAAGTCAAAACAGTGCAAAAATGATATAATGATTGACAGGACACAGGGTTTTCCGTTACATAAGGGTGAGCTGTTGTACAGTTGTAGGGAGTATTATCTGTTACATAAGGGTGAGTTGGTGTACAGTTGTAGGGAGTATTATCTGTTACATAAGGGTGAGTTGTTGTACAGTTGTAGGGAGTATTATCTCTTACATAAGGGTGAGTTGTTGTACAGCTGTTGGGAGTAGTGATTAATCGATTAATTGATTGATTAATTGATCATTAAGAATTTCATCAATTACGTTAATTTTAATCGACAAACTGAATGTAGGTTGCTGTGCGTAGCGTGACCAAACAGGGGTCCGTACATGTGTCTCTCTGCACTCAGAAGGAGCGAGCAAACACAAACATTCGGTCAGTCTGCAGCCTAACGAAGCACAAATGCGTATTTAACGATGACTTGTACAAGAAATTCTACGCTTTCCGTTGCGTTCGGGACAGGTGTGAGTCCATGTGCACAGTGAACAAAGCAGCACATATGTTTCGATGTCCAGTGGGAAAAAGTTTTACCAGGTGAGAGTCGCGCAAGTGTCGATGACGAGGACCCACCTCCCACCCCCCGTACGGTGTCCTGGTTTTTTTGACAAACGCAAATATGATCACACTAACCTGTATTCCACTGAGTCATGTCTTTTAATCCAACAGAAGTTGACCGCATCAGCGACACAAGAGCTGTATTTTTATGTTCGCTTAGTTTATGCAAATTAGCGATGTGGTTTCAAGTTTTGTTTCTGTGAGAGTTGCGCAAAACTGAATTAAACACATTATAATGTCAAACGGATTGATGTGGCTCTAGAGTGGTTACGGTTTATATGTCATAAAGTTGAATTTATTTATGCAGATTAGTAGTGCAGATAGTAATAATAATGATGATCATTTTAATATAAAAACGTTAATGATTAATCGATAATCGATCGTTAATTCTTCCGACGATCGATTAAGAAAATTTCATCGAATGCCCATCCCTAGTTGGGAGTATTATCCATTACATAAAGGTGAGTTATTGTACTGTTGTAGGGAGTATTATCCATTACATAAAGGTGAGTTATTGTACTGTTGTAGGGAGTATTATCTGTTACATAAGGGTGAGTTGTTGTACAGCTGTTGGGAGTATTATCTGTTACATAAGGGTGAGTTGTTGTACAGTTGTAGGGAGTATTATCTGTTACATAAGGGTGAGTTGTTGTACAGCTGTTGGGAGAATTATCTGTTACATAAGGGTGAGTTGTTGTACAGTTGTAGGGAGTATTATCCGTTACATAAAGGTGAGTTGTCGGCTGGTTTGTCAGTATTGTCAGGTCCTGATTAACCCAATAATGTCTGTCAATTGACCAATTACACAAACAGCTCTACAATGAAACATTATTGTCCTCGTTTTTCTCTTTTTTCTCTTTTTTCTCTCTTCCACATAATTGGTTTCCAGTTTTTCGACAAAAGACACAAAGGAACGGTGAGTGAAAAAAGGTCCTTGGTCTGTTTACAGAGTTATGTGTGAATGGAGTAAGAGGTTTTACAGATACTTGAGTGAATGCTGAGTATACACGGGTCTTTGCGGCACTGAACACCGAGGAAGAGGAAGAGGAGGAGGAGGAGGCCCGCAGAGCAGCCCTTTGTTCAAATGCAAAAGGGTGGGGCCAAAACCAATAGCCAATAATGAACAATCAATACGTGGGACAAAAATGCAACGAAAAACACACAAAGAAACACACATCAACGGCACATTTACAAACGGGTTGAATGAGAAATGCCTAGTTCAGTCCGTTACAGCGCAGGATGTATTTATATTTTATGACATTTATTCAATATAAGCTGGCAAAACTAATAAAAATCTTAACTGAATTTTATTTTAATGGTCGAAATGTTCAAATCGCAAAAGCTAAAATAAAACGAGAACTAAACATAATGTCTCCATGGGGTATTATTGTGTAAAAAACCTTGTAATTTTCTACCTTTGTTCTCTTAGCAGTTCATATTTTAGTGTTCCAGTAGACGTGTTTAATGTATGCAGTGTGGACTGAATCTTGAGTGAAAAAATATAAATTGCAAGTTTAACCTTAACTGAAATAATTGTGGAAAAAAAACTGCAATGGCGTATTTTATTTAAAAAATTGGTCGACCCATATCACACAGATGGTTATGACTTTACGTGGATGGTTTAAAGGGCCAATTTTACGCTGTTTTCCTCATCACAAACAAACCTGGAGTTGTGTTTTGTTTCATTCGCACATGTTGAACACACAAACTACAATATTTAGGCTGAGTTAGCTTCTCTGAAACAGAAAACACTCTGTTCCAACTTGTGATGTCATGTCAGGAAGAGCTCTCCTGTGTTTTTAAAGTCCACACACCTTCACTAAAGTCATTTGGACGATTTCAGCCCTGGAACTGTCAACTTCTACCATAGACCATATAAAGAAGTGGACTAAAGTGAAGAAGTGGCCATGTCCACACTAATACGTATTCGAGTCGTTTTCGTTGTGGATGCAGTGTTCGTGAACGGCGATCCGATGGAAAACGGCTCCAGAGACGAAACGATCTGGTGCCGCCACCTCCTATGAATTCATCTGAGTACAGATCTGATCTGGCACTGTGTGGATGCCTGAAAACACTGATACACTGATGCAGGTCTATGCACTGCGAAGTAATTCACGGCCAAAATGCTAAGAGGCTAGAATATATGTCCGTTCGTATATACGGTCTGTGTGTATGACCTGCAGACGTATAATATTTGAAAAGTTTAACATGAACCATCTCCAACGCAATAGAAGCACAGAACAGACTCACCATCAGCAGAACACCCCTCTGTCACAGAAAGAACACTCATATTCCACTGTGTCGTGTCCTTTAGTTCGACAGAAGCTGAACCGCATCAGCGCACAATAGCGAGCTGTTTTTTGAGCTCTCAATTTATGCAAATTAACCATCCGGTTTTAAGTTTTGCTTCTGTGAAACATAAATAAATATGCTCAAAGCTGTGTGGACAGGAAGACTTGCGGACACAGAAACGACGTGTCTGGACGCAAATCATTTCTGATACAGTGATACAGTGGTACAGTGATTCATTTCAGTATAAACGTAGCCTAAGTGAGTGTGACGTCACCCACAGCTTTCAGCTCCACTCCAATGAAGCTTGCGTTGCCACGGTTACAGTTAAGCGAATTTGGAGTCATACTCAATATTTGTAAATCCGACTGCGAGTATCATAGCAACCACAAGAGCCAATCATGATTGAGGTCGATAATGTGCCCGCCCTTCTCACCGGAAAGCGAGACAGTTTATTTAGCAACGAAACACACCATCTGTCAATCAAACCTGTTACTAACGCTAATGAGAGCATTTGATTGGTCCGTTTATTTATGTTCATATCTTGATTTAGGGACAAAATAGCAAAATGAAAAATTCAGGATCATGTAGAGCGGGTTAATACGAACATGTAAGACCAAAATGACGAAGCTCACAGTAGCAGTTACAGAGAGAGGGACAACAAGATCCCAATGTGAGTCAATCGGAACCAGGATCAGAAGAGCCACCTGACGAACTTCCTATTTGGAACACGGCGGCTTGTGCATTAATTATGTCCACTCATATATACGGTCTATGTTCTCTACTGAACTAAAGGTAAAAGGTAGCTTAAAAACTACCTTTTCATGACATCGCAAGGTGGAATAGAGCATTTTGAGCTTTGGAGATATAAACTAATACTAAAGTGTTATTCAAACATGTGTGACTGAAACAAAACACAACTCCTGGTATGTTTTTGATGAGGTAACAACAGTAAAAAAAAGTAAATTTTGCGTAATATCGGACCTTTAATGAGGCAAACACAACGTACAGAAGTAACACACATTTAAAAAGCCAAAGAAACAAATTAATTGACTGTCAGACGTTACAAAAAAGTGAAAATGTTTTGTTGCAATGTGGGCGTGGCACACACAGAGTCATGTGATTTATACCGTGACGCGATTGGCTGGCGCTGGAAGCAGGAAGCACATTGGGCAGATGGGAGCCAATGGCATTGCAGGGCGGGGTTCGAGCGTTACCTGGGCGACAGGCGGAGCAGAGCAAACAGAGCAAAGCAAAAGCGTTATAAAAAGAGCGAAAGCAAAAAGAGGAGAGCATTTGAAAACAACAAGAGGAGAGGCAGAGGGAGAA